ACATTTTCAATTTCACTCATTGTAATTGGGGTGTTTAGAATTTCTATATCTTCTTCATTTAACTTTGGCAATTTGTATGTATCTAGGAATCTGTCCATTTCTTCTGTGTTTTCCATTGTATTAGAGTACAGGTTCTCGAAGTAGGTATTGATGATGCTCTGAATTTCTGCTGGGACTGTTGTGACTTCACCTTTTTCATTCTTAATTGTATAGATTTGAGCCTGTTCTTTTCTTTCCTTTTTTTGATAAGGTTGGCTAAAGGTTTATTGATTTTAATCATTCTTTTGAAAAACCAACTCTTTGATTCATTAATTTTTTGTATCGTTCTCTTAGTTGCCATTGCATTGATTTCTGCTCTGATCTTTATAATTTCCTCTCTTGTAGGAGCTTTGGGTTTATTATGCTCTTCTTTTTCTAGGAGATTGAGGTTCTACATTAGGTTATTTATCTGAGTTCTCTCTTGTTTTTCTAATATGGGCATTCACTGCTATGAATTTCCCATGTAGAACTGCTTTCATTGTGTCCCAGAGATTCCTGTATGTTGTACTGGGATTATCATTGACTTCTAGAAACTCTAATTTCTTCCTTAATTTCCTCTGTGACCTATTGGTTGTTCAGGAGGGTGTTATTCAATTTCCATGTGTTTGTGGAAGTTTTGCAGTTTTTTATGTTATTGATCTCCAATTTTATTGCACTATGGTCTGATAATATACAGGGGGTAACTTCAGTTCTTTTACATTTACTTAGACATGTCATATGAGCTGGTATGTGGTCAGTTTTGGAGAATGACCTGTGTGTAGCCAAAAAGAATGTGTATTCTGATTTTGTGGGGTGGAACACTATATACATCTATTAAGTCCATTTGTTCAGTAGCTTGGTTCAGCTCTAAAATTCCATTGTTAATTTTTTGTCTAGATGATCTGTCTATTTGTCATAGTGGGGTATTAAAGTCCCCCACTACAATTGTATTAGAGCTTATTTGGCTTTTCATGTCCATTAATATTTGTTTTGTATACTTGGGGCCATTCATATTTGGTGCTTATATATTTATGATTGTCATCTCTTCCTCTTGGATTGTTCCCTTCACAAGGATGTAGTGACCATCTTTGTCTCTTAATTAGTTTTGGTTTGAAATCTATTTTGTCTGCAAATAGGATTGCTACCCTTGCTTTTTGCTGGGTTCCTGTTGCGTGGAGAACTGTTTTCCATCCTTTTACTTTCAGTCTTTGTATTTCTTTTTGAGTTAGATGTGTTTCTTGTATACAGCATATTGCTGGATTTTGCTTCTTAATCCATTCTGTCAGTCTATTTCTTTTGATTGGTGAATTGAGGCCATTACCATTCAGAGTTATAACTGATAGATATTGACTCATTCTTGTCATGATATTTTCCTGTTGTTGGCTCTTCTGTTTCTTATTTTTCCCCCTTTCCCTTCAGTGTCTTACCTCGCCTGGTGGCTTCCCTCTGTTGGGCCTCGTGGAGTTGTGACCTTCATTGTCTTTTTCTAGGATATTGCTTAGAATTGTTTGGAGTGCTGGTTTGGTGTTTATGAAATTTCTCAGGTGTTCTTTGTCATGGAAGTATCTAATTTCCCCATCGATGTTGAAAGATAATTTTGCAGGATACAACAGTCTAGGTTGGAAATTATTTTCTTTTAGGGCCTGAAATACTTCACTCTAGGCTCTCCTTGATTTGAGGGCTTGTGTTGAGAAATCTGCCATGATTCTGATGGGCTTTCCTTTGTAGGTGATTTGTTTCTTTTCTTTAACTGCCTGTAGGATTTTGTTCTTCAGTTGGGTTTCTGGTATCTTCACAAATATTATATGTCTAGGTGTAGATTTTTTTTTTTGATCATGGCTAGTTGGGGTTCTATGTGCCTCACTTATCTGTATGTCCAATTCTCCACCTCTGTCTGGGAAATTTTCTATTACTTCTGTGAACAGTTTTTTTTAATGTCAATTGTACTTTCTCCTGTTTTTTTGTGGACTCCTATCAGTCTTACGTTATTCTTCTTTGCATCATCTAGCAGCTGCTGGATTGATTTCTTGTGGTCCCTTACTATCTTTAAGAAATTTCTGTTTTCATGGTCCTTAACTGCAATCCTGTCTTCTATATCTGATATTCTATCTTCAGATTCCTTTAATCTGCTGTGCATGCTTTCAATGGAGTTTTTAATCTCTTGAATATCTGTTTGAATCTGTTTCATGGATTCCATTTCTTATGTTGGCCGATCATGGTTTCCATTTCTTTCTTATGCTGGGCATTCATGGCTTCCAGCATGGTTCTGAGCTCATCTATTTTTTTATCTGTTTCTGTTCTAGAGCCTCTAATCATGTCTTTCACTCTGCTCACCATCTCTGTAGTTACCTGGGAGATTATTTTTGCTTTGATTTTTTTTTTTACTAGAGCCTCATTCATCTGTTTTGTTACTTTCTGTGCTATCAGTTCAGGGTGTCCAGATGGTTGATTATCACACTTTTCTACCTCTTTTCCCCCAGAATTTGCCTTTTGTGGGGTAGAAGCCTGAGTTTGTGCCTTGCTTAAATGTCTTCTCCTTTTTGTTTTTGGTACTGTCCTTGGTTTAATTCCTGGGTTGATACTTTGAAGTTGTTTATTGTAAGTGTCTTTGTTGATGTATTTAGAACCCTTATGGAATGGTTGCTTCTCAGAGGTGTCTTCCAGCTACAGCTGGTCTTTAGGTTTTGAGTCTCTAATGGCTCTGAGGCTGTCTCATTTTCATTATACCAGGAAGGACAACTGATTAGATCAATCACAGCACCTTAGCCCAAGCGATACAATCAGCAACACAATAGCATCAAGTACCTCTTTGAAAATGACAATTTGTGGTAGTTATTAACCTATCACCTTTAACTGTGTGAATTAAATAAAAATCAAGGACCAACCCAACATATGTTTATAGTGAATAAACTCTTCAACATAGCAACTTTACCCTTCGGGATGGGAAGTTGGAAGAAGTTGGGGAGGGAGGCATGGGTAGGTAGAAGGATCAGGAAAGATTAGCAGTGAGGCCAGAGGGCACAGCTGAGAGAAGGAAAGAGAAGCAAAGAAAGATAAAGAAGAAATACGAATTAGGGGCAGAGCAGGAACACAAAGGGAGATGAAGAACAATGTGGGACAGCAAGGGAGTGAGGCAGAGAGAGAGAGAGAAAGAAAAGAGAAAAGAAAGGAAAAAAGAGAAAAAAATTTTAAAAGAGTAGCAAAGAAGAAAAAAAATAAGAAAAAAATAGTGCTAATTTTGAAAATAACAAATAAAAGATAAAAATAAAAATGCCCAGCCTCCTTCAGGGTGTGTCTCTGCTGTCACAGTAGACAACGTGGGCAGCAGGGTGCAGTTGTAAGTCAGTGAGTCTCAGCGAGCCAGTAGCAGACCCCTGAGATTCAGGCAGATTTCTGGCTGCAAGTCCCAAGCTGAGCTCCCTGTCCTCCTGCAGGGTTGAACTCTGCCAGGTTCTACTGCAGGTTCCAGCTGCCCTTCCCCTGAAGATAGTCCAGGTTCCGATGGGAGGTGGTGATCCCTCTAACTTACCAAGCATGGTGGTCTGGTGTGTCTTTGTTGCAGAGATTCTCTTCACTTTTCCAGTGGGCTTCAGTTTTCACGGAGGAGCCTGAGAAGCCCTCTTTCTGCTGCTCACTTCTGCTCTATCTTCTGGAGCTCAGGACAGTGGCCTTTATGTGCCTCTGTAGTGTGGATCCAAGTAGCTGCACAGACAAGAGGCCAGAGGCGGGGCGGGGGGGGGTCCACGCTGGAGACTGGTGGCCATACCCAGGCGTCCTCACCTGCCCGGTCTCTGGCTCAGACTCCTGGTCGAAAGTGGGCGGAGCGAGCCAGATGGAGCAGGGCGCACTCAGCCCGCGCCTGCTCTGCCCGCGCACACGGCCAAGCTCCACATGAGTTTTAGTTGTCCCATAATGGGCTGATGTAATTTGTTGCCAGTTCCATGAGTAGAAACACGTCTGGATGTGTTGTTCCGTCCTCTTTCCTTGCCATCTCCGGGGTCATGGTCTGAATCCCCACCCAATGTTTCCATTCTGGTTTTGCCTATGCGTGGTCAAGGTGTCTGCACTGTTCTCTGCATAGTGGTTCCCAAACTTCCTCCTGAGCCATGGCCCTGCCTGGGCCCACCCCCGGGCACCCTCCTCCAGAGCGCATCCCTGCTGACCTGGCCCCACCCCAGGCCTGCTTGCCGTGGGGAGCATCTGTTATCCTTGCTGTCCTAGGCCCTCGTCCCTCTCTGCTCCCGTCTGCTGCCGCCTGTGACTCCCTGACCTCTCTGTTCCGAGCTGATTTCTCATTTGCTGCCGCTGGTAAACCCGGCTGTATCTGGGCCGTGGCTCCCACTGAGGCCCGTGTGGGGTCTCGTCACAAGCCACAGGGTCGGACCCAAAGGACCGTGGAGGAGAACAGTCCCCTGGCCTGTGGCCATGTCCAGAGAAGACCTCACCAGCACGACGGGTGTGTGCTCTGCTGGGGCTGCCCAGGGTGGAGGCCCCAGGTGTTTCTGGGTCTCGCAGCCCAGTGGTGATGCTCTTGTGTCCTGCAACCCAGCAGTGTCCCCAGCACTGCCCAGGGGTCCCCAGGGGAGCGTGTCCTGCCCTCTCCATGGGCTCACAGACAGGGCCAGTGATGAGACCCGAGTCAGCATCACTCAGTAGGAGCAGAACCTGGGCCACGTGTGAGGTTTTAACATTCCAGCAGCCCTGCTCAAACAGCGGGAAAGGTGGCACTGGTTCAGCAACGCCGTTGGCATCTCACCAGACCCTGTCACAGCACAGTGTCTTCACTGAGAACCTCCCTGGGCTCCGGAGCGCGGGCCGTGTGTGCTGCACCTCAGGGTGCACCTGCTGCTCGCCCAGTGCTGGGCGCCCCAGGGCAGGGTGAGGTGCTGGCTGGCGGGTCAGGTGCCCGTGTCCCTCGCTGCAGGGGATGCCTGCGTCCCGGCTGCCGAGCACCGCCTGCAGGAGCGGCTCCTGGCCACCTTTCTGTTCTGGCTGCTGGACACCTATGTGGTTGAGCTGCTCAGGTCCTTCTTCTATGTCACGGAGACCACGTTCCAGAAAAACAGACTCTTCTTCTACCGCAGGAGCCTGTGGCGGGAGCTGCAGAGCATCGGCGTCAGGTGTGGTGGTCATCGCGTGACTGTCCTCGTGGGGTTCTCGGTGTCCGCGGACGGTGTCGACTCGGGGTGTCCCGCTCGCCCGGCCCTGTGGGTACCGACTCGGAAGCAGAGGGATGTGTACCGAACAGCAGCCGCGGTAACGAGCCACTGCGGTCCCAGCCACGGCTGCAGCTGTGTGACCCTGCGGTTAGATTCCGTGCTGTCTGCAGGAGGGGCTGTGGCAGAGCAGGCCACCCGTGCACCCAGTTCGGGGTGCAGACCCAGCAGCCACTTCTCTGTCCTGCGCTTCGGTCCTCCGTGCTCCCGGGTCCCTGGCAGCCCGATCGCGGCTTCTGAGTCTCAGTGCCTGCAGCTGGGTCTCTGGGGCTCCCACTGTGTGAACCAGGACGTCGGCAGAAGGAGCCTGGTGTCCTGCTGTGCCAGAGGTGTCGGAGACACCATAGCCGGCAGGGACCGAGATGGGTACTGTGGACGGACAGATGGACGGAGGGGTGGGTGCCGGAGCTTGCTGGGGCCCCCATCTGCCAGGCTCCATGCTGACCTCCACACCCGGGAAGAGCCCCCGGGGCTGACCAGCGGACTCCTGTGTGCTCACCACTGTGCCCACCATGTGCCCCGGCACCCTCTGTTCCAGGCAGCACTTTGAGAGGGTGCAGCTGCGGGAGCTGTCGGCTGCGGAGCTCAGGCAGCACCAGGAAGCCCGGCTGGCCCTGCCCACATCCAGGCTGCGCTTCGTCCCCAGGCTCAGTGGGCTCCGACCCATTGTGAACATGGACTGCATGGTGGGCACCGGAGCCACCCTCGGGGAGAGGAAGTGACTGTACATGTTCCCTCACCCCGGGTAGGGCCGCGAGGGAGGCAGGGCTGGCTCCTCCAGGTGTGGGGGTCGGCATGGGGACCCCGGCGGGAAAGGGCAGCCTAGAGCCCAGGGGGCTGCTCCTGCCATGGCCACGGGCCTCAAGGTGCCATGGAGCCCTGCCATGAGGCAGCAGGCACTGTGGGTTCTCTGGCCACCAAGGGCTATGTGATGCCCCAACACCAGGCCCAGCAGTGCACCCCACGCATCCGGACCCTGTTCAGCGTGCTGAATTACGAGCGGGCACGGTGGCCCAAGCTCCTGGGCGCCTCTGTGCTGGGCCTGGATGACACCTACAGGGCCTGGCGGGCCTTCGTGCTGCGCATGCGTGCCCAGGACCCTGCACCCCGGCTGTACTTCGTCAAGGTGAGTGCTGCCCCCCTCCCACATCCGTACGGGGCACCAGGGCTCTGTGGAGCGACCAGTGCTGGCGACCCTGGGGTTCCTCCGGCACCGGGCATGCTGGGCTTGGATTCTGCCCTGAGCAGGGCACAGGGGACCCATCCCCTTCTGGGCACACTCAGCCCCAAGGACAGACACTTTGATCTTGCACGGGGGCCTGCATCTGGCCCCCAGCTTCTTGGGGTCCCCCGGCTCAGGCAGGATCTCCTGGACACCGGACCACTTCGGAGGAAGGACCGCTCAGCCACCAGGCTTCTGGGAAACTTGGGGTCAGAGAGGGGCACGCCCTGCCCCACCTCAGGGTGGTCAGCATGGGTGTGGCTCCGGCAGAGCCCACAAAGGCACGCGTGTGTGTGCACTGTGGTCCCCGCCCCGACGTGCCCTTCAGGGTTCCACAGTGGGCTGAACGTGGGCCTTGCACTCCTGACACTGAGGCGGTGCTCAGCGGCCCTCTTGCACCCCGCAGGCAGACGTGTCTGGGGCATATGACGCCCTCCCACAGGACAAAGTGGCAGAGGTGGTGGCTAGTGTCCTCAGGCCCTGGGAGAACACGTACTGTGTCCGCCGCTACGCCGTGGTGCAGAGAGCCGCCAGGGGACACACGCGCAGGGCGTTCCGGAGACACGTAAGGCAGGCGTGGACCCTGCTGGGGACGTTTGTGACACATGTGCTCAAGTGCAGGTGTCCTGGGGGTGGCTGTCACCGCGACTTTGGTCCAGGCGCAGGCATGACCGTGGCGTGTGTGTCAGGTGTGGGCATGTGGGACCTGACTCTCTCCGCTGGGGTCGTGGTGAGGCGCCCTCTGTCCCTGTCCCAACATGCTGGTGGCCCAGTGGTGCCACCCGGGTCCTGGTCCTCTTCCAGCCCTGGGACCTGCACTGTGGAGGGCTCCCAGGCTCAGGCCGGGGCGGCACAGATGGCCCCAGGTGCTCTGCCTTTTCCTGAGACGAGCAGGGCAGGAGTTCCAGACCCGAGTGTGCCCAGCTGTGGCGCTGCCGTGGGGGCTGTCTGAGGCCACTGATTCCCGGGGTGAGCACTGGCTGTGGTCGGTGCCCCCACCACAGTGGGCGTGTCCCCCTGGGTTGGAGGCTGGACCAGGAGTGGAGCCGCCACACTGGTTTGGGTAGCTGTGCAGTTTCCCCTCCCGCCTGTGCTGCACGCACCCCCACATGATGCACGCACTCGACACAGGCAATGTGTTGCTACCTCAGTCAGGCCCCAGGCACTGGGAGCCACTGTGCATCCTGTTGACCATCTTGCCGACTGTCAGGTGCTGAGCCTGCCGCGTGTTGTGCCCACTCCGGGATCCCGTGTCCTGTCGGGTGGATTCCGTGCATCGTGACAGCAGGGCCTGTTGCTGATGGTGGTTTGTGGTGCTTGTTACACCTTGTGGACCCAGCCTCCCATCAGTCCCCTGCTCGGTGTGCCTGCTTTGTCAGTCCTGGGCAGAGTCCTCCCATGCACACAGCTGCCAGGCCTAGGGACGTCCCTGTGTCTGCTCATGGCTGAAGCCTTTGTTCTGCGGGGGGGACCCAGTGAGGCAGCCTCACCTTCAGGCCTAGGAGTCCTTTGCGCAGTCTCTGTGGGGTGGCACCTGCACCCGTGTGAGCCTCGGGTGAGTCGGAGTGTGTGGGCTCCAGTTCCGCTTGGGAGTCCTTGCTCTGGGACCCTGGGCTCCACTGGGTTCCCTGGAACCATGGATTCGCTTCCCTTAGATACTGCAGAGTCCCACGCACCCCCCTTTCGGCCCCAACACCAGCAGTCCACTTCGTGGCCCAGTGATTGTGGCCAGGGCTCCCACCGAGTGGTCTTGGAGGATGACCTTCCAGGTTTCCTTTCTCCTCTTCTCTACGCGGTTGGGCTTTGCCCTGTTCTCTTTCCTGTCTTCTTCGGGTTAGTGTTGTCCTCCTCGATTCCCGAGGTGTAGCCCTGGTGTGGGTGTTAGAGCTTCCTTTCCTGAACAAGCTCCAGAGGGACCCTGGTTGCTTTGAGAGGCACATTCTTCATGGCCTGGGAAGCAGTGGCTTGCCGTCGTGGCCCAGCCGCTGGACGGGGCAGCCGGTCTGAGCAGAGCCGGCCTCGGCCCTGCTGCTTCTGCCCAGTTCACAGCAGGAGCCTCTCATGCCATCCCCACCTCTGCTCCCATCGGGCTGGCCCCTTGGGGTCCACGTGTGCCCCCATGTCCTCCCTCCTCTGGCTGCAGGTCTCCACCCTCCCCGACCTCCAGCCGTACATGAGCCGCTTTGTGGAGCACCTGCAGGAGGCATGCAGGCTGAGGGACGCCGTGGTCATCGAGCAGGTCCCACACTCCCGCGAGGGTCCGCACCCCGGTGCTCTACTCGCCAGGCCCACCTGTGGCATCTGGCATGGCACCGGGCCTGCCGCTACAGGACCCGCCCTCTTCCCGCCTTGCTGCCCCATCCCCTTATTAGGGACTTGGTGACAGTGTCTCCCTCGCTCTCGGTCTCCAGGCCACAGGAAGGGGTCTCCTTCCTTGGGAGGACCAGGTGGATCTGACCGAGGCCCTGCAGTTTGCCCGAGCCAGGGGTGGTGGGGTCCACCCAGGGCCCCACAGCCTTCCAGAACCTGCATTGGCACTCGTTCCAATGATGGGGTGGTCATGCCCACTGAGGATGCTGAGGCCCCCAGAGACCCAGACACAGGGCCCCAGGGTTGAGATGGCACCGTTCAGTGTACAGCAGACTGTGCAGCCTGTGGCAGACCCTGCCCACCCACACCCAGGACCTGGACGCCTGTCCCAGCCCAGAGGGGACGTCTGTGACGGCCGTGGCCACGGGTGCTCACAGCTGGGCCTCTGCCGTTTGCTTCTCCAGAGCTGCTCTCTGAATGAGACCGGCTGCAGCCTGTTCGACTTTTTCCTGCGCTTCCTGCGGGGCAGCATCTTGAGGATCGGGGGCAGGTGAGTCGGGCCAACCACCCCCTTCCCTTGTGGCCCTGCTCGGACCCCAGGGCCCTCGGGCTCCCCTGCCTCGGTGTCCTGGCTAGAGGCGAGTGTGCACCCATGTGCATGTACCTGTCTGCCAGCTGTGAGCAGCAGCCCCTCGGTGCCCGCCCACTTCTAACTCTGTCACCAGGTGCTATGTCCAGGGCCGGGGGATCCCCCAGGGCTCCATCCTGTCCACGCTGCTCTGCAGCCTCTGCTACGGGGACATGGAGAACATGCTGTTCACCAGGGTGCAGCAGGACGGGTAAGGGCCCCTCCCGTTCTTGGGGCCGTGTGACCCACAGAGCATCCTGGGTGCTGGTGCTGCAGTCGCTTTGTCTTGAGTCAGGCCAGGCCGTCGCCCCTTCCTCAGGGGTTTCCAGGGCCGTGGCATGCAGCCTTGCGTGGCCCCGTCTCTGGGTGGCAGGCGGGACAAAGACACACAGGTCAAGGACATCTCTCCCATGTGCCTTTCGCCTGACTGTTTGTGGGACCTGGGCCCAGTGCCGGCTGGTCACCGACCCATCAGAACCGGGGTTTCAAACCCAGCCACGTTGTGCTCCTGCTCATTGGTTTGTCCCAGTGGCTCTGGCTGACAGCAGCCGACTTTGGTGGGAGCCTGTGGTCTGGGTGGACGTGGGTGCGCCAGAGGGAGCAGGTACACTCAAAGCGGTCATTTCCAGTTCTGGGTTTCCAGGGCATCCTTTAAAGCCCAGTTCTAACGCTTGCGTGTTGACGGAGGGGTTCTTAATGCTCGAGTTCCAGGTTGGCAAACGTTTAGGTAAAAGGGAAAAATTGAACTCTGCCAATGCAGCCTGGTCAGGAGCATGGAAGGCTGTGTCCCCAAGCTGACCACGCAGCGTGTGGCCATCAGCTGGGACGAAGGCCTGAAGCGGGACCCCCACGACCCTGGGCGGGCATGGGGGGTCATTCTGCGCTCACCCGGCGTGGGCTGCAGGCTTCCCAGGACCACGCAATTGTGTGGGCAGAGGCCCCACGGGGCTTGGAAGAGGGCAGGGCACCCAGCTCCGCACAGCCCGGCTCAGTCATTTTCCCCTGTGAGGTGGAGTTTCAAAGGGCAGCTTTGCAAGTCTGTCTGGCCAAAGCAGAGTCCCACGCCTGAGCTCCCCTGGGCGCCCATTTGCACATAACCCCTTGGTTTGGCAGTCAAGGACATTGGTGTCGGCTAAAGGAACTTGAGGTGTTTATTTCAAGCACAGCCTTTTATTCTTTGCGGTGTGAATTCGGAGGTCTGGGCTTTGGGCTCCCTGGCAGGCTGCGTCAGGTGTGTGACCGGAAGCCTCTCCATGCCTCCTCGTTGTAGGGTGCTCTTGCGCTTGGTGGATGACTTCCTGTTGGTGACGCCTCACCTGGCCCAGGCGAGAGCCTTCCTTGGGTAAGGACCCCACCCCTGGGTCACCCTGCGTTTATGGCTTGCATGTGCAACCCTGACTCGTTTCATTCACGAGTGTTCTGTACACCGGGGCTGAGCTGTTCCCGGGGCTGGCAGTGTCCTTCCTGCACCATGCGGGCACCTCGCCTGCACAGAGAGAGGCCTGGGGTGCCCATGGGCACCAAGGATGGTGCGGCCCACGCCTCCCCTGAGTCTCGTGGGAGCTCACTGGCTGGAGGCTGGGCGAATCTGGACACTGCCCAGAGCTCCTTCCTGGAGGGGCTGTGTTCGGGGAGCCCAGACACACCCCGGCCTGGCAGGCACAAGGTTTCATTCTACACTGTGAACAAGGAAGTGGCTGGGAGGCTCCTGCAGCCCAACAACCTGGGTTTTCTTTATGGGATCGGTAGGACTCACTGAATGGTGATGATTTGCGTTTAGGGGTGTTCGGGAGTCTTTGCACAATGATGGGTGCAGTGTGGCATTTCAGGACAGTGCAGTGCACTGGTCACTGCATACCCCAGGGTTGGCCTTAGAGTTGTCAGCTCACGTGACCCTGCCAGGGAGCAGGGCTTGTAGCGTGAGCCCCCTTCCAAGTAGCCTCGGGCTCTGTGGCTCTGACCTTTTCGGGCTGACTTTACAAGAGGAGAAACTTGGAAGTGCTGAAGGTTCACCTCCAAACTGTTGCCACCTGAGAGGTGTTTCTGGTGGCCACGAGGCATCTGCGGTGCAAACACACTGGGTGCTGGGCTCTGTGTCCCCCTCCATGCCCTCGAGCACAGCAGGCCACACAGGTGGTGCTTGATGGGATTGGTGAGGGGGATTGGGGATGGGGTCAAGTCCAGGTGGCCCTGCTGTGTCCACCGGGCACAGGCCAGTGACCTCTGGGGACAGAGGACGCTAGAGAGTTCTGGGGGCAGCTCTGGGCTGAGGGTCTTGGTCCAGGGTGTGGCTCTGGGTGGGTGTTTGGTCCCCAGAGGTGGGCCAGCTGAGGGCCCGAGGAGGACACACGGGAGATGCAACGCAGACCCGATGCAGTGGCAGAGGTGACTGTGCCGGGCAGTGTCCCGAGCTGGTGGCTGCACGGTGGGTGCTGTCGGCTCCAGGGAAGGAACGTGCAGGGCACTCACCGAGGAGGCCCGTGCTTGGGGAGGAAGTCCCTTCCTTAGGGCAGACCGAGGTGGACGCTGGCCACGCACGGTGCTCACAGTGGTGCCCGGGTGGGACTGTGTGGGTCACTGGGGACAGGACCCCACAGCCCTGACAGGAGCGTGCAGGTCACCGGGGACAGGGCCTGCCGTGTGGACATCTGAGACCCGTCCGAGGTCCCCTGGCCCCCCATTCTCAGCTGGTTCGCTGCTCAGTCCTCCCCTCTTACCCGAGTGGGGAGTGGGGCTGTGTCCGCCTCCCACTGCAGCCCTGCAGTTCTCTGCACCCAGGACACCCTGGGGACCCACGTCATGGCATAGAGAACTCGCCCTGCAGCTCACCCCCACTCTGCCCCAGGACCCTTGTCCGTGGCATCCCTGAGTACGGCTGCACACTGAACCTGCAGAAGACGCTGGTGAACTTCCCCGTGGAGGACGGTGTCCTGGGTGGCCCTGCCCCGCTGCAGCTGCCCACGCACTGCCTGTTCCCCTGGTGCGGCCTACTGCTGGACACCCGCACGCTGGAGGTGCGCTGCAACTATGCCAGGTATGCGCACCTGGCGGGGGCAACGGGCAGAGGCACTGCGGACCGGCCCTGTCCTTGTCCCCTTTTGTACACAGCAGGCAACCATGGGCCTCGGGGTGACCCTTCCCATCTGGGGGGCAGAAGATGTTGCACAGACCTGGGGTATACCATGTGTCCCCAGAGATGCAGCCCGACCCTGAGCCGAGGTCCCGGCACCCGCCTGAAGCTTGGGGAATCAGATGCAGAAGTCCAGGCTGTTGCTTTTAGGAGTGAAAAATACAAAAGCCATGGTGGGGCCTTGCTGCTCTTCACATTGGCAACTCTGGCTGTCTGGGCTTCGTCACCCAGAGCTGGACTTGCTGTCCCCACCGTGCTTTCGGGAAGTGGCCTCCTGAGTGGAGGGAGGGTGGGTGTGGCGCTGCTGGCCCCCGGGCTGGAGTCCTCATGCAGGGGCGGGCCTGGTGTACTCGGCACACTCAGCCCTCCCGCAGCCGGCCCGGTGCTCCCTCGGGACATCAGGAGGGACACCCAGGCAAGACGGCCAGGTAGCATCTGCAGCGGGAAGAGTTTGGCATTTTATCCTGCCCCGAGCATGGCTCAGGTGGCAGTGTGAGGGACACTTGACCGACAGGACAAGAAAACAGTGGAGCGCCACAGCCCCCCGTCAGGGCTCGGGACTCGTGCCGGGATCCCCAGCCATTTAAGTGACGTGTCCCCTTGGCCGTCGGGTGGCTCACAACCCCTGACGCACTGTGGGTGCTGTTGGCAGTGGCTGCGCTGTGGCGCTTTGGGAGAGTGAGCAGGGGAGGCAGCAGCATCCAGAAGAGACGCAGTCTTTCCCGACTGTCCCCACCCTGCAGCTGGCATGGTCTGTGGAGGGCGACCTGGGTCGGTGGGCTACGTGGGTCAGTCCGTGAAAAAGGGGTTGACGGTTGAATTTTTTCCAAAGAAAGCTGATGGGAAGAAACTACGTCTTTCACTGGCTGCATAGACTAGAACAAACCCTGGTAGAAGGGTCTGAATACAGACAAGGACAGTAGGAGGAAGAACAAAAAAGACTCAGAGAAAGCAAGCAGGTGTTCCCGCTGTGGTGTCAGAAGGGGAGGCAGCAGCGTCTGGCAGGAGGGGAGCGTCCGACGCCGGCTGTCATCTCCGGTCTCCTGCGGGGGAGAGCGGCTGGGCCTCGGTGCCGGGCGCCATGGTAGCCCGGTCACCCGGCTGCTGTGGGCTGCGCCCCGTCGCCCCATCACCTGGATCCCTGCCCCCACCCCCCATGGCCTCCCACGAAGGCCCAGGGCAGAGGCTCACGCCAGCTGGGCAGGTGGGACTGCGAGTGGTGGGCGGTCGCGGAGCTGCAGGAAGGAGCATCGCGTGTGTGCGCACCGTGGTCGTGCCAGCCTGTGGGGCAGTCTCTCAAAAGTGGCTCCTGGGGCGTTTGCATGCCTTCCAGAGCCTCCATGCCAGCGAGCAGGTCCTAGACAGGTGCCCGGCCACCCCAGTGCCAGAGCCAGCCGCGCGCCCAGCCAGGGAGACAACTCCGCGGTGTCCGGCCATGCAGGGCTCGTTTGGTGCTCCTGCCGTCCACCTCAAGTTTCCAGGAGCGCTCAGTCACACGAAGGAAGCACGTGTCGAGCCCGGGCGCACGCAGGCTGGCTGCAACGGAGCGTCTCCGAGTGGATTGTGCACATCGGGCACAGTGCGCGCAGGCGGGCTGGGGGCTGAGGGATGCCCACGCGCCTCTCCGTGCTCTGTGCGAGGCTGGCCTTGTGGCTGCGTGGCACGAGGACGAGGAAAGCCCTGCAGGCCTCGAGCAGGTGATCTTAGCGCCGGGCTCCAGGCCTTGTCCCGGAAGTATGACGTGGCCTCTCGGGCGCAGCTCATTTCTTGCGGGGGTTTGTACTTTGGATGAGTCCTGTGGGTTTCGGCAGCCTTGTTCGTCACCGGTGAGGGAACGTGTACAATGGGGTCCAGGGCTGGGGTTAAGTTGACGCTGCTGGGTCCCGAGGACTGGTGGCCCTGGGTCCGGGTCGTGCCGCGGGCCAGATGGAAGTGGAGCGTGTCACCTGCACCCTGGAAGCCCCACTGGGTCCCACACAGGGAGCTGGTTTCGTGGAGTAGGTCGTGGGAGTCACACCCCTGATGCCACACCCTGTGCTGCAGTTACGCACGGACGTCCATCAGGGCCAGCCTCACCTTCGACCGCGGCATCAGGGCGGGGTGGAGCATGCGCCGCAAGCTGCTGGCCATCCTACGGCTGAAGTGCCATGGCCTCTTTCTAGACCTGCAGGTGAGCAGGGTGGCGGCCCCGGACTGCACCATGAGGTCTATTCGCAGGGCTGGCTGTCCAGTGCGCGTGGGCCTGTGTGTGTGAGATTGCATCAGAATCGTCCACCTGCTCACGCAGCCGTTCCTCTGCCTCCTTGGCCCCAGTGCCCTTACTCACGTGGCGGTTCCCAGCCCTGGAGCCTTCCGCGGTGGCTCCGCCTTTGTTCTGTGCCCTCAGTCCCCTTAGTGGCAGCACTCCCTGGCGAAGCCTGGCTGGGCTTCTGGGGAGAGAGGTGGCTTCTCCACGCAGCCCTTTCGCTCTGCTTAATGACGAAGAACATCATCCCGGGGCACAGCTGACACCCTGTCTCTGCGCCAGGTGAACAGCCTGCGGACGGTGCTCATCAACATCTACAAGATATTCCTGCTGCAGGCCTACAGGTGGGTCTCGCGTGTGGCCACCAGGTGGCAGTAGAGGCCTGGCAGTGCTTGGCCTTCATTGTCCTGAGACTCAGGCTTGACAGGTGGAGCTGCCTGACTCGGGCCATTGAGGGACTTGGGGTCCCCGAGAGCAGGTGAGGCTTTGCAATGGCGTCACTGTCCGCACCCCACACACTGGCTTTGCTCTGCTGGCTGGAGCTCCCGGGACACTGTGTCTTTGGCAGGTCCCGAGGGTGGGGCTGGGACGGGTGATCTGCAGGTCACGTTCCACCTTGTGCATCACCTGGGCACCTCCCCTCCCCACCAGACTCGCTGAGGCTTCCTGTAGCAGCCTCTGTGAATGTCAGGCCAGCAGTGACTTGTATCCTGCTGTCGTGGGAAGGGTGCTCTGCAGAGGCCGCAGCAGGGCCAGCGTCTGCCTGACCCCGGGCTGGGCAAAGAGCTGCTGTGTGGCGTGGCAGACCCAGCCTCTCCTGCAGGGTCCTTCTGGTCCAGGGCTGAGTGCAGGGAAGCGACCACCCTGCAACACGGGCGTGAGTTCAGTGTTGCACACCTGGGCTGGGTGTGTTTGGTGTGGCACAAGATCACTGTCACAGCTCCTTGGTGGGGAGCAGAGAGTGGAGCCAGAGGTCCAGCCTGAGCGCCTTCCCTCGCCCTCAGCCCGCCATGGGGTTCGGCGTCCTGTCCTCCAGGGCTCAGTGGGGCCTCGTCGGATGACAGCCACACAAATGAGGACATGACACACAACACGTTTGTGCTCATTGTGCGTAAACACCCGTGCACGCACAAGCTGTACACAGTACACGTGTAATTCACGTGTGTGCACACAGACATGCACAGGTGTGCATGGTACCCACGGGAGTACATTCCAGCCAGGAGACACAGCCAGGGGCCACACGTGCGCACACGTGTGAGCACGCTCCATCTGACCACGTAGGTTCCACGCCTGTGTGCTGCAGCTGCCGTTCCACCAGCCGGTTCGCAAGAACGCCCCGTTCTTCCTCCGCATCATCTCCGACTCAGCCTCCCGCTGCTACTCCATCCTGAAAGCCAAGAATGCAGGTGTGCTGGGGCCCAGGCACCAAGATGCCCACAGGGCCCAAGCTGTGTGGGAGCCTCGGGCCAGGCGGTATTGAGAGGGGCTGTCCTGCAAGTGCGGGGCGCAGGCATGCCTGGGTCCTCAGCCTCATGTGCTCCCCAGGGGTGTCTCTGGGGACCAAGGGCGCCACTGGCCCATTTCCCTCTGAAGCTGCCCGGTGGCTCTGCCACCAGGCCTTCCTGCTCAAGCTGGGTCATCACCGTGCCACCTACAAGTGTCTTCTTGGCCCACTCAGGACAGGTGAGCACGCGCTGGGGAAGCGGCCTCCTGGGGCCTGGCCCTGTCTCCATCCAAGCACCTGGGTTGCCCCCCACCTCCTGCCCTGGTTGTTCCTACACCTGGCCAGGCCATCCTCAGCCCTGCTGCCCCTTGGCCACTCTTGGGGCCCGGCCCCCATCCCCTCAGCATGTCTCAGGCCTGGCTGAATACAGTCACCTCTCCCAGAGGAGCCTGAGCCCTGTCCCTCTGGCAGCCCAGACTCAGCTGCGTGGGAAGCTCCCCAAGGTGACGATGGCCGCCCTGGAGGCTGCAGCCGACCCCGCCCTGACCATGGACTTCAAGACCATCCTGGACTGAGGCCAGCACTCCACCACCCTCATCCGTACCTGTCTCAGGAGGGGCCTGCCTGCCCGAAGCTCTGGAACTGCTGAGGCTGCTGGGGTGCCGGCAGGGGTTTCCAGTGCCTCCTTGGCGAAGCACAGACCCCAGCCTGGGTCCTCCTTCAGTGCTGGCCATGGGGATGCACGTGGGCTCTCTGTGGATTTGCGGCAGAGCACCTCCACTGCGAGTGTCTGCAGGAGCCCTCTGCACATAGCTCAGGGGCTCTGGCCGGCAGCGCCACCCAGACTCCAGACCGCTCCTGAGCCCTCAGCCTAGGGCAGTCGTGGCAGACCCACGGCGCATGCTGAAGCAGGCTTGTGTGTTGAAAGCTCTGAAAGCTTCCTGCTGCCGGCCCAGGCTGGCCCACTCCCTGTCTGTTGGCTCCCACATGGAGCTTTCAGGGTGGCGGGGGTTAGTGGAGGTTGCCGACACACAGGGCTGGCAATAGCCTACCGTCCCTGTTGGCCCTGACCTCCGTCCGCGCCCCTGTGCCAGCGCGGGGATGCAGCGTGTGCGGTCGGGTGGGGGGTGGTCCTGGCTCTGCATCCCCCACTGCCTACTCTGTTGTCTCGTGCCAAGTGCTGTGGCCTTGTTTGTCCATCTCGCAGGCCGCCTGAAGCACTGGCCAGGGGAGCTTGGGCTGGGCACACGGGCAGACCTGTCAGCCAGCAGGCGCTTCTCATCACAGGTGGAGGGACTGCAAGGGAGGGCCAGGGGGCCGGTGTGCACGGACAGGGGGTTGGCGGCAGGCAGGTGGTGGCATGGCCCCAGGAAGGCAAGGTGGGGTCCTGCTCACATGGGGGCAGTGGCGGGAGAACGCAGGGAGGTCAGGGCTGGACCTGGTGTCCTCTGAGGTCTGGGTTGGGGGCTGGCTCTGGAGGGTCCTACTGAGTGCCAGGAAGGGAGTAGACAGTCCCTTGTCCACCAGCCAGCGTGCAGGGCCAGCTCCCAATGGCCTGGCTGTGGAGTGAGGTGGGCTCTGCAGCCTGGGGTGGGGCCTGGGAATTGCATGTTGACAGGTTCTCTGTGCTGTTGGTGACCCTGGTAGGGCTCCGTGTGCGGCCCCGGAGTGGAGCAGTAGCCCGGCACTGCCTAGTCAGCTCTGGACTCTCAGCGGGTGGGGGTGCAGAGGACTCAGCCGTGGACGTGAAACCAGGGACAGGTGCAGTTGTCTGGTCCTGCCAGGGCCGAGGGCCAGGTGGAGCCGGGAAGGGCCGCTCCCTGCAGCAGCCTCCAGGAACCTGGCCCGGTGCTCTGGTGCTTGGGTTACACCTCCCAGAAGGGAGCTGTTCTGGTGGCTCCTGGGATGTTGCCGATGGCCGGAGTGCCCCTTGGACGGGGCTTGCAGTTGATGCCACGCGGTGAGCGTCCTGCCAGGGTTTAAGGCAGCCAGGTGTGGCCTTGTCTGTCACTGTCACCATGAGTGCATCCCGGTGACCCGAGCCCAAGCCCACGGGGCGCGTTGCAAACGTAGTGGGGCCCGGATTCCCCGCGTGGCGCATGACAGTGAGTGCTGGGCCCTTGGCAGCTGGCCTGCTGGAGCCAACGGCAGACACCTGCAGCTGACAGAGCAGGGCGAGGGTCCTGGAACAGGCACGGCACACTGCCAGGACAGTGGATCGGGCACCGCCCTTGGTTCTGCAGGGCTGCGGCACTGTTTCTCCAGCTAAGCACATATTGCTTTGGCTTCACGCAGAGTCCCTGGTCCTGCTGAAACACTGAGCTCCTCGTGTAGGTGTGTCCTTCATAGGGTTCCGCTCACCTGGCGTCCTGTGAGTCCTGTCTCACACTGCTAGGCTGGGATGTGGCTGGGGGGATCACTTGCCTCCTGTGCAACACCTAGTACAGCAAAAAGCAGAAATAAAACAGAAAGAGCCAGAATTCCTTGGGGCCACGTGAAAATAAATGTTTGAAAAAACTGGTTGTTTGGCTTCCCAGTATCCAAGCTTCCTATTAAGCTCAGTGTATGTCCCATAGAGAAGGGGAAATCGAAATGGAAAAGGAGGGAGAAGGGCGTGTGAGTGGCAGTGGATCATTGAAGGCCCTTGTGGAGGTCAGGGGAGTCCCCAAATGAGGGGCTGCGTCCCTCCTGCAGGCTGCTTCCTGGTGGTCCCTCCATCGCTCACCCTCAGCACTGGCACCATGCCCAGCTGCCTGGATCCTGACCAGTGAAGGATGCCCTGGACGGGGTGGGGGTGCCGTGAACTTAGGGTATCAGACCCCCAGGAGCTGGTGGCAGAAGCCCGGGTCTCAGCCTGTGAGTGTCACCTCAAGTGGCAGGTGTGAACTAAAGTAGGTGGGATGAAGCCTGCTGACCTGCTGGCCTTATGGAGCACTTCCTGGTGCTATAGTGCTCACCAGCAATCAGCTACTCAGGAAACAGGCTCGAGGATTAAGAGTTTGGGGTCCGCTTGGGTAACCGCGTCCCCTGCCTCCAAAAGGGTGGGGGTGGAACTCACGCTGCTTGGGTTCTATCACCTGCACCACAGAGAGACCACCCTGAATTAACCTGGGCAGCCCAGTGTCGCCATCTCTCAGGTCCCTAGAAGTGCAAGAGGGGAGCTGGAAGGAGTTCGGGCAACACTCCACCAGTCATTCAGGAGTAGGGGTGCAGGGCGGCACACACCCAGGGATGGGGGCTACAGGCTGGAAGAGCAAGCAGGGTGCCCAGCCCTGCCAGTGTGGACTGGGGAAACGAGGCCCGGTGCCTCCCTTTTCCAGCTGACAGCCACCAGCTGTGTCTCCACGCTTACTGCTATAGCCCTGCGGCAGCCATGTGCAGGTGCCACTGGCACCTCAGCGGCAGTGGAGGACCTGACGGATGGCAAAGACCAGGGAGGGACTGGCACTCACTGCTGGTTGCTCCAAAGTCCCCAGCCCCGATGGGCCCTGAGGAACACAGCTGCTTGGAAGGGTCTTCCTGACTTCAGATCCGTCATTTCCATGGGAGCGCCAGAGCTGTGGATCAGACTGCTCTGGCCAAGCAGTCCTGTGGCAGGGAAGGTTTCCTAGGCCCAGCCTGGGAGGTTTCCACTTTGGCTTGAAATGTAGGCCTCAGATGACTCCACCTGGTCCTCCAAATGACTTCTGCCATTGCTTTGGAAGTTGCCACGTAGGACTGTAACGCAAGGACGGCACATGCCCAGCCTGCTCCTATGCACAAGCAGCGTGCCCTCGGGCCACTCTGGGAGGGTTCCCCCTGTGCACTGCCCAGCAAAGCCTCCCCTGAGCGGTCCTGCTGCCTGCTCTCGATGTTTGGGGGTCACGGGGTGATCAGGCTGCACTAAGGCCTGCTAGCCCTGCAGAGCAGAGAGCAGCAGAGACCACAGAAGTGTCCCCAGAGAGCCAGCAGACATTGTTGGCAAAACCCCAGGAAGCCTTCAAGGGCACCCCAAGCCCTGGCTGCTGAGGCACAGTAGAGCAGCGAGGAGCTGCCGAGAGAACACCAAGAGCTCATGGGAGCCAAGGGCCACTGGCACGCAAAGCCCACAGCTGCGACACCCGGAGGGCTGGGCTTTTGGCAGCTCATGCTGCCTATCTCAGTTGAGCTCAGGAACCCCAGCCTGCTGGTGACAAGACGCGTCAGGGGCCTCTAAGAACAGACAGGGCCGGGGATCTAGCTCAATGGTGCCACGGCCTGCCTTGCAAGCACCAGGTCCCCAAGTTTGATCCCCGGTAACAAAACAACCCCGAGAGGTAGTGATAGGCCCTGCCCAGTGGCTTGTTGCATGGCAGGGCCCTGTGGCTGCCCTGGGGACCCTGTGTATGTGGTGACACTTCCAGCCCGGGTGGAGCTGGTGCCCTGGGAGCCCGGCCTGGGCCCCTTGCCCCTCCTGGGTCTGAGCACCTGTGCCTGATGGGTTGGAAAAGCTGACTCGGGTCTGGGTGATCTGGGTGCAGCTCCATCGCGCTCCGGCCAAGCTGAGGCTGCGGGCTAGAGTCCTCAGAGGTGGGAATGGAGCCCTTGCAGCGTCTGCTGGCTCAGGCCGGGCCCCCCAGCCCGTTGGCACACCCAGGATCCTGGAGCCTGTGGCCACAGGGATGATGGGTCTGGGAGATTCTGTGGACTGTGACCTCTGTGGTTGCTCTCCTGCAGCCCAGGTGTGACAGGGCAGGCCTGAGTCTGGGCACCCGGCTGCCCCGTCCCACCTGGGCTCATCACCTGACAAGGCACCGTGCTCCTTGGGTGCTGTCGTTTGTGTTCCTGCCCTAGACTGAGCGCTCCCACACCCTGGCTGCCGCTGTGGGGCCCCCATGTGGGTCCCAGCCCGCGCTGTGAGGGAGGGGCTGTTCCCCAGAAGCTGGTGGCTGCCCCAGAGTGAGTGTTCCAAAGAGCTGTGTGCGTGGTTGCCTCTGTCCCCGTAGTTGAGAGGGTCCCTCTGCAGAGCTGGCCCTGCCCTGGTCACAGGACAGAGCAGGCCTGAAGCTGGCAGGCAGAAGGCACCTGGGGCTCCGTGGCTCCTGGACGACAGCTCTGTTTGAAGCTGTTGTACCCCAGGCCCTCAGAGCTGTCCCTGAGAAGGGAGCGGGCTGGGGGGGCCGCTGTTCCCCCACTGCTGGTCAGGTGCCAGCCCGGCCTGCCTGAGGGACCAGCCTGGTGTTCCCTGCGGGCAGGCCCAGGCCTGCTCACTCTGCTCTCAAAGCTGCCCTCAGCTGCTCCTTCCTGGGCTGCTAGGCAGCCTCCCGGGCCCCCAAGGCATCTGCCCGCGGCCCTGACCAACGGCATGTTGGGTCGGGCAGACACACTGCACCATGACCGGGCCACCTGGCCACGCGTGTGCCGACCTCCCAGACATCCTCCACCCTGCCCTGTTACTCAGGCTGTGCCAAGCTTGTGGGCAGAGGGGAGTTTGGGAGATGAGCATCCTGGGCCCCCTGTCCCCGCCTTCCTTGCTCGGAGGCTGCAGATGCCGTGGTCTGGGAAGGACACAGACGCTGCCATTGCCAACCTCCCCAGCAGGCTGCTCTCCTGCAGTGCCACTTCTGTGACATCTCACACCAAGTCTCCCCAGGCTGAGGACCCGGGCCCTGCTCAGCCCCTGGGAGTTTTCAAACTGTGGCACAGATGGGAAGTACAGCTGTGGCTGAAGCTGCTTGCTGGGCATAGCCTGCTGTCAGCAGCCCTTGCCTGTGCCGTTCAGGGCCCGTGGCAGGACTGGCAGGCCCTGCAGTAGAGTGGGACCGTGTCCCCAGCCACTGTTAGGGCCACACCCCAACCCCTGTGCGCTTGCCAGCGGTCACAGTGCCCCTGTATCTGTTTGTCCATGGCAACACGGTGGGCCACCCGCTGTCGGACTTACCAGGCACCCTCCCTCGAAGAGGCTGGGGACGCCTCGCCCTCCCGTGTGAGCCACAGCCCTGCCCCTCCTCCCACGCCCCAGGCTCAGCGACCAGCCTCCCCTGCAGCTTGCCGTCCAGACTAGAGAGGGGCTCTCAGTCGGGCCACAAACCGGAAAGGATGCTGCGACGTCCAGGGAGAGGCCCAAAGCAGAGAGGCGGGCTCTGGGTCCGGGGGCCTGGTGCCCACCTTTGGGCTCGGCCACCTGAGTGCCCTGTGGCTTGTCTCGTGTCTGTTGTGGCTGAGGGCTGGCTGGCAGAGGTGTGTGCTGGGTTCCAGTGATGGAGCAAGGTGGCTGTGGGCCGAGCCTGGGCACCAGGCCCCCTGTCTCCTGGCTGCCCTGTGCAGCATGCTTGTCCCCACGTGCTTGCCGCCTTCTCAGTGGGCCTGGGGAGGGTGGTGACCGTGGGTGGGGACACCTACAGGATGCCCCTCCGAGGCTCAGGGTGCTTAGTGGGGACACCTGGGATCGGCTCTGTGCTCTGCAGGTGAGCGGCCATGGCTGTGCCTTTGTTTACCCTGGGATCTGGGCTGGGTGTGGACCAGGCACCAGGGACCTGCCCCCAGCCATGCACCCAGGCCCACAGCCTCCCTGGTCCACCCTGCCTGGTCTCCAGCGCCACGGACAGCGCTGCCCAGCCAGGACTTCCTGAGGACACCCAGGTGGGTCTGTAACCTATGCTTCCCTGGATATGGAGGTGAACTGCACGTCCAGGGCCCTGCGCTGGCACCTGAGCCTGGCTCCGCGGCGCTGCTGGGGGAGGGAGGGGATGAGGAGCCGGGGTGACAGCTTCCCAGGGCTTGGCAAGGAGGAGGAGCCGAGAGTGAAGGAGTGAGTGAGCAAATGAGCAGACGAAGGTAGTGCTCGCCTGGTCCTTGCTGATCACCAGCTGATCACCAGCCTTTTCGTATCACCACAGACAAGTTAGCCGCTTTGGAAATAAAAGCAGCAGTGTTCCATGCTTCTCGGAAACAGCATGGGGTCATCAGCCTGTGGCCCTGGTGACCAGCAGGGACAGCCCTTTGGGCCCTCTGCAGCACCCCACTTGCTGGACGTGCCGACTGCTTGGGAAGGACAGGCACCTTCTGCTGGCTGGGTCCCTGCCAAGCCCAGTGGGCTGCCCCTGCCTCGTTGCTGGTGGGACTGCTCAACTCTGCCCCTGTCAGTGTGGATTCATGGGGTGGCAAACAGCCATGCTGCTGTGCCCGGGGCCTCGTGGGCCTGGGCAGGCACTGCTGCCGCCCAGACCGGGAGTTCCCAGGGCCAATCTGTCTCCCGCTTGGGACACCATTGAGCCGGACACCGCTGGGGAGCACCAACCGCAAGGCCTCAGTGCAGAGCATGTAATGGGGTTGGGTCTGGGGGCTGCAGGCTGGGAGGGCCCCATCTCCACCCTGGCTGCCCCTGCCCCAGCCCCTCAGCAGCCACTGCTGTCCTGCAGCTTCAGCCCAGTGTCCAGCTGCGTGTCCTCCCGCCTCTGCCTGCGCCGGGGCAGCAGCTGGGCCAGGGCGGACGCTGGGACCCACAGCAGGGGCAGGAAGGACAGGAGCATGCAGACGGCCTGCACCCAGCCAGGGTAGATCTTCTCCTCCTGAGCCGGGAACAGCTCCTGCGGGACAGGAGGGCACACTCAGCCGCTGTCCCCCAGGACACAGCAGCACGCAGGGGCCAGTGCTTGGCCACCGGAACTGGAGTGGATCAGCAGCGTCCCCTCCTCCCCAGAGCCCAGGAGCGAGGGCTCTGGAGTTCCCGGTTGGGCGGAGCTGCTTGGGGCAGGGGACCACAGAGACCTGGCTGGGCTGCTCTGTCCCCACTCTGTTCCGACTGCTGAGATGCCTCGGCTGCTCTGTGTGGATTCGCAGAACCCTTCTGGGCCCGTCTCTGCCTTTGCCACTGCTAGGCTTGGAGAGGCGCTTGTGCCACCCCTGGAGGGCACTAAGCTGAGGCCCTGCTCTGTGGCCTTCCCTGCCTGGCTGGACCAGCACCAGGACCCTCTGGGGACCTCCCTGTCAGACCCAGACCAAGCAGTTTTCCCTGCTTTCTCCTGAGGGAGGCGGAAGGGACCGGGAGGCCCAGAGTTCAGACTGCGGGGTCCCCACTCCCCTGATCCAGGCCCTTACCCAGGTCCCAGGGTTACAGTTGGCTCTGTCCCACCAGGGACATTGGAGCCTGGTGTTCTCAGGCCTCGCAGTGGGCACAGCTATGTCCCTAGCTGCCAGAAGTGGCCAGGCCACATTACCACATAGGGCATAAGTGTCCACATGTGGGTTCTGCCCCCTGCCAGGCCACGCCCAGGATCCCAGGCCCCCATGTCCCTGCAGGGAAGACCTACATATTGGGGGTTCCAGGCCTTGTAGCTGGGTGACCTGAAGGCCAGCAGGACGATGTAGGACAGGAGGATGCCCAGCAGCATCAGGGGGCTCACCACCCGCCACGACACCCGCCAGTAGAGGCTGGGCCACTGCCCGGTCATCCACTTGACATCAGCACAGAACCTGTGGGGGAGCAGGGCTGAGGCTCGGGCTCCCGGTGGGCCCGGTGGACCTCGCCTTCGGAGGGAGGCGGGGATGACAGGCCCTATCAGCTCCACGGCACCGGGCTGAGCCTGGGTCGGGCAGCCCTGTGCCGCCCAGCCTTCAGGCCCAGGGGCGTGCTCGGTAGGAAAGCACTCACCGCTTCATACCGTACACATAAATGACCCCGACCACCTCCAGGAAGGCGAAGGTGACCAGGTTCAGGGAGGCTGCGAAGTTGTCAAAGACCTCGAGCCAGTAGCTTCCAGACTGCAGTGTAAAGCAGGTGGCCGAGAGGAAGCACAGCAGGCAGGCCAGCCCTGGGGACAGCAGAGCGGGTGGGTACACAGGCAGGTGTCCTCGGCTCCCTCGGCCCGGGCCCCTGCCTCCCAACCCCAGGCTGTCCCTGTTGGCCGCTGGGACCCCTGGAATCCATGTGGAGCATCGTGGCTCAGCCTCCCACGGGGCTTGGGCATTGGGCAGTGAGCAGAGTGGGCAGCAGCCCTGGGGGCTGGACGTGGGGACAGTCCCTGCAGGTGGCCAAGCATCCACTCACCAGTCAGGACCTCCTTGGGGACCCACCGGGGCAAGACCCCCATGTCCAGGAGCGGCGTGATGATCCCCTCCATGTTCCCGAACATGGAGGACAGCCCCAGGCTGAAGAGCATCCCGAAGAAGAGCACAGCCCACACAGTGGCCCCTGGCATGTGCAGCACAGCCTCGGTGAAGACGATAAAGGCCAGGCCGGGGCCTGAGGCTCCCTGCAACACGTGCACGCCTTGGTGAGAGCCGACCTGGCCCTTGGGGACAAGGGGTCATTGCTCCTCTTTTCCTAGCCTCTGTGAGCAGGGGAGAGGGGTCCTGGAGCTCAGGACCTGGGCAACCTAGCCTGGGTCCCAGGCCCACAGTCCCCATGACCCAAGCCCGGACACTCCCTTGGTCAGAGCACCTCGGTGCCCGCGCTCTGCCATCATCCTGGGCCCCAGACCTGTGGCGGGGCCTCTCCCTGGGCACAGGTGGACTAGGATTCCCAGCCCCCCGGCTGGCCCCACGGGCACCTGGTCCAGGAAGTCCTTAAGGCTGCAGGCCCGCAGGGGCAGCCGGGCCACCCTCCCCGGCTGGGTGGCATTGAGGTGCAGCAGTGCGGCCGGGTAGCTGTCCCTGGAGATGCTCTGCTCCGGGAGGCTGAACTCGTTGATGAGGCAGAGGATGTTCCTGCATAGACAGAGAGGCTGGCCAGTGGGGCGGGTGTCACCATCCCCAGGCCATGTGGAGCCCGCTCAGCTGGCAGTGGGCCCTCACCCTCTGGGCCTGGGACGGGCACTGCTCTGTGGGCACCAGGGACGCACTCACCGGTCCAGGCACTGCCCGTGGTCGTTGGTCGCCTTGAAGCCCATGATGGAGAAGATGGTGACGGATGCGTACAGGGAGGTCACGCTGTTGACCAAGGCGATGATCACGGCGTCCCGCCTGCAGTCATTCCTGGGCACAAGCACCCGCCATCAGGATGCTGTGGACACAGCCTGTCGCTTCCTGGCCTGTCGCCCCACCAGCAGCTCCCTCGGCCCGCCCCGCCCCGCCCCTGGCAGTGGCGGCTGTTGCAGTGCTGCAGGGGCACGGGGCCTCCACTCTGGTCCCCGACCACCAGGACGACGCACACCATGTTTATGCTTTTATGGCCCGTGTGTCCGCCACCTTCTGGGTGGGTGTGCGGCCTGGTGTGAGTGAAACGCGAAGTTGTCATGAAAATAGAGTCGCTCAGGTTGGCTGTGAAAAGGCAAAGCCAGGAGGTTGAGAGTGCTGTGTGGGCCTCACGAATGATGGTGACAGGAACTCTGGCAAAGGACTCGGCCGGGGCCACAGGCAGCAGGGCCTGGACCTTGCTCAGGACGCCTGCCCACAGCAGGCTGCCTGCCAGACCAGGATGAGCGCTTCGGGGCATCCTCCACTTCCTCATCCTCTGCCGTCTCTAGGGCTCCGGTGCGCCTCGTCCCCTTGTAACACCCGGCCGGCCCCAGGAGACACGGCTGTTCTTCGGAGCCTTAGGGCTGACACGCGTGAGGGCCCCCCGCCCGGGACAAGCTTGCCGTGTCGTCCTGGGAGCCTGGGCTGACGCCCAGCTGGGCTCACAGGGGAGCAGCTCCGAGAGAGAAGCACCTGGTGCCTGTCCCCAGGCCCTGCTGCCTCAGCACCTGGCTGTAAAGCCGTCCACACCCCTGCCGGCCGCCTACCTGGGCGGGTTGTAGCTTGCAAAAGCGATGTGTCCTCCGAAGGCCAGGGACAGAGAGAAGAAGATCTGTGTGGCCGCGTCCAGCCACACCCGGGGGTTCAGGAGAGTTTGCACCTGGGCCGGGCAGGGAGGCCTCAGTGTGCAACAGGCCAGCCCCGGACCGCTGGACAGCCTGGCCCCCCGACCCTTCCCCGGCTGCTTCAGGCATCTTAGCGGGTGAGCAGCTCTGTTGCCAAGGGCAGCCCAGACCCGTGGGGGCGAGCGGCCCGAGAGGCCACAGGGCCCTGTCTGTGACCGCTCTGCTGGCTCCTCTGCCCCGGACCTGGCATTTGGGACCACTGAAGGCCTAGCACAGGCCACCTGCACATGCGCCTCTGCCAGGTCTCGGGCAGACTCAGTGCCACCAACACCCCGTGGCAGCCCTGGAGTCCCCGGGACAGGACAAGATGGCCCGGGAGGGCACAGGGCCCCCTGGACCTGAGCCCTGGAGCGAGGCTGGTGCTGGCCACTGCGACACCTGGGAGCCCAGCGGCACCCTCCGAACCCAGTTCCTCCTCCCAGGCCCCGTGCGCCCCTCTCCACCCGAGTCTGCTGCCTGACCACCGTCCTTGGGCCAGGGCCCTCTGCTCCAAGTCCTCTCCACCCCACCCCCGCTGCCTGGGAGCCGCTGCTCGGGCACCTCCCAGGGAGGGAAGTTGCCGGCGGGACCCCCGTACATTGGGGGTGAAAAGGTAGGTCAGGCCCTCCGTGGCGCCAGGCAGGGTCAGGCCTCTGACAAGGAAGATGGTCAGGACCAGGTACGGGAACAAGGCCGTGAAGTAGATCGCCTGTGGGCAGAAGGGGGGTCTGCACGTGGGGCCTCACAGCACAGCCTCAGAGAAGCAGGCGGGGTGGGGCGAAGCACCGGGCCAGCAGCAGGCCCTGGGGTTAGGCGGCTCAGCCGGCTCAGGCGGGCTCAGGCGGGGGTTGGCGGGCGCAGCTCAAAAGCTTTGAGCTCAGCGTGCATGCCTCAAGGGTACAGTTTGTGACCGTGTGGGCACCGCTAGGCACAGACCTCGGACTGGCAGCCTCAGGATAGGGCAGCCCTCTCCACGGCCACCCCCAGCTCTGCTCCAACCCCCACCAGCCAAGGTTCAGGCCCTGACCCTGCTGCCAGCACCCTCCACCCGCCCCTTTGTCCACAGCCCTGTCCTCGGCTGGGCCTGGCCGACCCCGCTCACGTGGGCCCACACCAGAGAGCTGCAGTAGTGAGTGCTGGGGAGCAGCTTGGTGGGGAGCAGGGCCTGGTACGTATGGGGCTCTGGCCCCGAGGCCCAGCACCACGGAGGAAAGCTCCATGCAGACGGGTGTGTGGCGTCACAGAGGGTTGCTGGGAATTCCCAGCTCTTCGTGCGTCTCGGCTGTCCACCCCTCGCTGAACAGGACTTGTCACCTGGGCAGCAGGCCGGGAGCCACTGCGGCTGGTGGCCGTAGGTCCCTGCAGTGGCCGTGTCGGGAGGTGAGGCCCAGGTGCAGGGACTCGGCCGCTGCAGGAAGGAGCTGCCTGTGCCCGGCACAGGCTCAGCAGCTCCCAGCCTCGGTGCTGCCCCAGGCAGACACTGGGTGTCTAAAAGATAAACTGCCTGACGCTCAACCCTAGCAGCTTTGCCGGAAAATGCACCTGGAGACCACAAGGCTCAGTGAAATAAAACTGGGACACAGCTTAAACAGCACATGGCCGCTCACGTGAGAAACCCAAAGCGTAAATAAATCAACGAGCAAAGTGAAACCCAGATAATAGGGAAGGCGGAGACAGATCTTTGGCAAGAGGGAAAGGAACCAAAACACTGAGGGAGGGGCAGAGAAAGGGCATGAAAAGGGGGTGAAGGTGCGTGCAGCTCCCCTCGGCGAGTGTGCTTATTATGTACCGCAAACATGCGCCCGTAGAACAGTGAAACTTAGATAAGAGGGTAAAGCAGAAGCCACGGCCGGGACCGCCACTGGCAGCGCATTTGCATTCGCATTCTGCAGTGCGGGAGGATGCCAGGATGGAGCCCGGAGGGAGGAGCGGGGGGCCTGGAGGGAAGGGCGGGCCCAGAGCCGCCCTGGCCCTGGGGCACAAGGGCACCCTGCTCAGGGGCCGTGCCTGTGGCAGAGTTCCGCCAGCCCGGACGCGGTCGCCGAGGGTTCACCTTGCCCGTGGTCTCGATGCCCCTGCTGATGCACAGGTACACAACCGCCCAGCTGGCAACCTGGCCCAGCAGCAGCCGCCGCTGCACGGTGCCGCTGTCCGAGATGTCGGCAGTGATGTTCAGCGTCTGCCGGTACCAGAAGTAGCTCACCGTGCCACTGGCCTGGCACTCCGCCACCAGCCCTGCGGCGGGGCGGAACACACTGCTCGGAGCCCTTCCTGGCTGTGAGGGGCCGCCCTTGGGGTCTGGAGGCCCCGGGAGGAGGAGCCCGGCTCCTACCCCACGCTGCCCCACCTGTCCTCCCTCCTGTCCCTCACCGGTCCTGTTGAGGTTGGGCGGGCAGGTGCTCCAGGGCAGCGGCTGCTGGAAGGAGTTGAGGAAGTACCACAGCACCCACACGAGCACAGTGTTGTAGTACAGGCTAACCAGGAAGGACACGGTGAAGCAGCCCAGGCCTGCGCCCGCACATGGAAAGGTGGACAGCCACACGTGAAAATGGAAGCCTCCCTCATGCAGCTCCTGGGGCCTGCGGGGTCCCCCAGCACCCGGCACCCGTGGCCTGCAGTGGTCGCCCAGTCCCGCCCGGGTCCCACCACGCGCACCTACTCCGCCCAGGTACGGGGAGATGGCCGTCCACACCCCGATGCTGCCCCTCCGCAGGCGCTGGCCTATGGCGAGCTCGATGTGAAACAGTGGGATCCCCTCACAGACCAGGGCGATGAGGTAGGGGATGAGAAAGGCACCTGCGTGGCACGAGGCCCCCACCGTCACCCGCAGGCTCTGGCGGGGCCGGATGCCGGCCAGGGCTCAGTGGCATCACCACTGACCACAGGGGCCGGGACTGGGCTGGACGAGCCCCGGCTGGCTGAGTGTCACCGGGCTTCCCTGGCTTTGCTGGTGGAGGCCCCGCCCAAGTCCTCAGGGGCTGTAGGTGGCCGGGGTGAGAACCCAGCGTCTATCTGGGGACACCTGTGAAGCTGCCGCCCGGGCGGAAGTAGCTCCTGCTAGGAATGCAGGTTCCCAGCCCATGAGTTTGCAGAGATGAAGGCTGAGTGAGGCCCCAACCCTGGCACACAAGGCTCCTGCTGGCCTTTCTGCGGTCCCTGGGCAAGGGCTGGCTTGTCTGTGAGTGACACCACTCAGCCATCTTCCTGCCTCTGGGCCTAGGTCCCACAGGCAGGATGTCCCCCGTCCCTGGGGAGTCAAGAAGGGCCACTTCGCTGACTCTTCACCTCCCTTTGCCTCTGTCCAGCTGGGTGTGGAGAGCACACCACAGAGCCGGCTGGACAGGGACCCTGGTCCCCAGGAAGGATTCTGTGCCCTGGGCCGATGCCCCAGCAGGACCTGCACAGGAGGCAGCAGCTGCGCCTGTGCAGGAAGAACCGGGCAGATGGCGCAGGGCTCTGGAGGTCACAGGGACAGCTGCTGCATCCTCTCCAGTGAACTGTCACGGGGACTCTGCCTGGCCCCCTCCCCACCTGCGGGCAGGTCTGGATACAGTCTCCAGGCAGCCTCCAGCCTGGACATTGAGCCATGCGGGCTGCAGCCAGGCTCTTGTCAACATTAATAAGCAGCAGGCCACACCTGTCCCTGACGGTCAGCCTGCCGATCAGATCCCCTGGGCTCAGCCTGCCACGACCCGCCCGAGCTGCCCCAGTGAAAGGCGCTTGGGGAGAGCAGAGGAGATTGGTGAGCGGGAGGAGGCTGAGCCTGTGGGGTAGGAAGTCCACACCACACGGCCAGGAGGACACGGTCCCTGCCGACAGGCTGGCACTGACCGCCGACTGCCCCGGAGACCCTGGCCAATGCCCTCGAGCCCACTGAGGCCCCGAGACACTGTTGTGGAGGAGAGGAAGTTTTGTGGCAACTGCAGAGCTGCATGGGGACTGGGAGGCCCATGAGAAAGTGGGCAAGGATCAGGATATGCGGGGGTGTTCTCATCTACACTGAAGCACACTGGCTTCACCACACACACACACACGCACACACACACACGCACACACACACGCACACGCACACACACGCAGAGCCCAGGCGCACCCTCGCAGGGAGGGACCTGGAGGACTCGCTGCACAACTGCGGGACCCTGCGGAGCCTGAGTCAAGCATGAGGCAGAGGCAGCAGACAGCTCGAGACCATGGCTCTTGGGCCAGCTCGGTGTACAGTGTGGAGAAGCCTCCAGGCTGGAAGCTGCAGCTGCTGCAGGTGCTGGGGGCGCCCTGGCCCTCACTCACCTCCTGCCACCCATCACCGACTCAGTGCTCCGGCAAATAAACAGCCCCACGGCGGGCGCTTAGTGAGAGTCACAGCAAACCTTTTGGCCGTGTCGGTGCAGAACTGGGGATAGACCCCAGGGTGCTCTAATGCCAAGCTACCTCCCACCCCTTTTAAAGGTTCTTTTTTTAAAATTTTGAGTCAAGGTCTCCATGAGTAGCCCAGTCTGGGTCGGAACTTGCGGTCACCCTGCCTCAGCTTCCTGAGTAGCTGGGATTACAGGTACACGGCCCCTGAACCTGGCGGCTGTACGTTCTATTTAAATATCTTGCCACATTTATAACAGGTTGCTTTGACAGGCTTGTCTTTGAAGAGCATGTGTCCCAAGCTGAGTAATTACACCTGGGAGAGGAAATTTTGCCCTTGGTAGTGGTGGGTTCATGCAAACTAAAAATGCAAACATCACCAGTGCTCTGTCCACCCGAGCTGAGGCACCTGGTCACCCTCAGAAGGGCCAACTTGCTGCCCACCCTGAAAGCCTGCCCCATCCACATTGCCTGAGCCCGGAAATGGGTGAGAAATGGGTGCCCTGGCCCTGAAGGTGACGGATGCTGCCCCATTTCCAGCCGGAGAACATTTCTGTCGCAAAAGCCCGAGGCGCCATGGGGCAGGAAGACAGCCCTGAGAGGCCCGAGACCCAGGGTCCCAGGCCGGCCCGACGGAGCAGGCCTGTCCCGTCAGGGGGGACACTGGGCCCCATTCACATCAGCTCCTGAGGCGGCGGTGCCTGTCCCCTCTCATGACCCAGGCGTCCAGCGGTGACCATGGGGCCTGCAAGTTTAACGACTAGCACAGCATTACCAGCAGCCCTGCGGGTGTCGTACAGCCGGGTTCTGGGAGGACCCCGTCCCAGGGAGGCTGGTCTGGGGAGGTGCATCCTGGATGCCACCCTGAGAACCCGGGGAGGAGTCAGCCCCAGTGCCCCCGACACTCCGTGCAGCAGGAAAACGTGGTCACAGGTTCTTCCAAGGCTGATGGCCCTCAGGCCGGGAGGACACTGCTCCTGCCCAGGAGAGAGAGCCCGAGGGGGTGCCCGGCTGCTCACCTCCCCCGTAGGTCTGGCACAGGTATGGGAACCTCCAGATGTTCCCCAGCCCCACGGCGAAGCCCACGCAGCTCAGGAGGTACTGGAACTTGTTGTCCCACTGAGGCCTCCTGTCCTCAACCGTGTCGACAAGCAAGCCCGGGGCCAGGGCCTGGGCCATCCTGGCTGGCACCCCGGGTGCAGGGTGGGCTGGGCAGACACCTTGCCAGCTGTAAGCCTGGCTGCCTCTGAGCTGGTCAGTGGCAGCTTCCTCGGCGGATTTTCTCATTTATTTAAAGGAATTTGGTGAATTGGTAACTAGGCCTGGTTCCTAACTCAACCGCAGCCCGTTCCCAAGGGCGGTGTCCCCAGCCCTGTCCCACATTTCACAGCCAGGCCCTCAGCACGGCTGGCTGCCAGCAGCATAACTCAGGGCTGTTCAACAGCAGCCGCCGGCCCTGAGACCTCCCCGGACTCCCAGGAAGCACCCCCAGCTGGTGTTTAAAAACTGATTTGTTCTGAGAGGCTGAGAAGGCAGATTGAAAGTTGGAGCCCTACCTGGGTAACTTAAAGACCCTGTCTCAAAAACATTAAATTAAAAAGGCCTGGGGTTGTAGCCCAGTGTGAAGACCCTCGGTTCAATCCCCACTACAGTGTAATGTGCCTGCACACACACACAGGCACACACACCCACGCCAAACACAAACAAAAGCAAAAACCCTGTTTACTAGTTTGGTATTTTTGTACCAGGGATCGAACTCAGGGCCTTGTGCTTGCGAGGGAGATGCCGGTGCCACTGAGCTAAATCCCTGGCCCCCCTATTTACTATTTGGAAACTAAGCTTATATATGTGAGACCGCAGAGGTGCATGCCCCAGGGAGGTCACACAGATGCATCCCCTGCTGGTCCCGTGTCCCCAGGGTGGCTTCTTGCAAAGGCCACAGACCTGAGCCCGGGTCCACTGTAGGCAGCCACTGCCTGCCATGGATGGGAGCTGGCGAGCCAGCTGGGGCTCCCCCTACCCAGCTGCTTCCTGGAGGCGGGGGCACCCCACTCCTGTGCCCTGCAACTCCTAAGTTGGTGTCAGTCCTCCCCGTGCTCGGGCCTCCTGCAGGGGTCCATCCCAGAGGCCCCTGCTGAGTGCTCCCTGAGCTCCGGGTCATCCCTCAGCGCCTCTCCCAGGGCCAGGCCAAAGGCCCTGACCCAAAGCTCTCACACTCCAGGATGCTGGCCTCCCAAGGGAGGCTGGGGTTCGAACATGTGCATCCTAGATCACAGCCCATGGGTGAGAGGCCAGGTGACGAAAGGGTCGCAGAGACGCAGGGAGATGAAAGGAGGGCGGGCAGATGGGGCTGGTGGGTGGTGTCCCCTGGGGCCACAGGTCCCCTGCAGCCGGGCACTGTTGTCCTTCCCACCTCCTGCCCTGCCACCCTGCAGCCCCTTGTTCAAGGCCCCTGTCACCTGCCTGAGGCCAGGGGGTGCCACCTGCCACACAATCACAAGCCGAGAGTGAGACAAGAGTGGTTTATTCAGATGGAGACACCCCTGCCCACCAGCCACACCCAGTCCCACGCACGCACAGACACGCACTGAACGCAGGGCGGAGACCGCAGGCTGGGCTGCCCCATGCCAGGCCACACACAGCCTCCCCGGTGCACTGGGCAGGGCGCTGTGGTGTGCTCAGTTGCACACCCCCAGTCCAGGGTCAGAGTCTTCCAAGCTGTGCCCTCGAGGACAACCAACCCAGCCATCCTCCTCCATTGCAGGACTCAGGCCATGGAGCTGAAGTGGCCAGCTGGCATGGCCTGGGGCGAGGACTCGCGGTCCAAGGGCTGACCCTGAAGTCTAGAGGGGAGGGGCTGTGGGCCCAGGACCCGCCACTGTCTCCCCTGCTGTGAGAATTCCCAGAGAGTCCAGTTCGATTAAAGCTTTGATTTTCCATGGGAAGCGGGGTGACCGCTGTCAAATCAGCACTGCCCCTGGGAGGACAGGGGCTGAGTCCAGCTCCTGGGCAGTGTGAGGGTTGGGGGCGGAGTGGTCACCGCATGTTGGGACGAGAGGAGCCTCTGTGAGGTACCAGGGTGAGATGTCCTCCCGGCCAGGGCCCAGCCTCCAGCTGGAAGCTCCCAGGGTCAATGTCTTCTCAGGAGTCTGGGGGATCCCGCTGAGCTCCGCTGAGCTGCTCACCCAGCTGTGCAGCTGGAGCAATGATTAAGTGGCTCGGAATCCTCTAGGCCAGACTGCCAGGCCCAGAGCCACTGCAAAACACCCCGGGCCGTCTTCTCTGCCTCAGGCCTCCGTCCTCCTCGGGCAGCAAAAGGGCCTTGACTTCCACTCTGGGCTGCTGCACCAGGCCCAACAGCCAGGAGTGGGGGTGGGTGGGTAGGCTGCGAGGGCCGCTCCAGGAAGCCCTGGCCCTGGGTGCGGACGGAGCAGCAGCAGCCTGCAGCCCTTGGCTGTGGACCGTGGTGTGTGCAGGACCGGGCCAGCCCACTCTAGGGCTGCCGGGCATAGTCCATGCCTTGCCCCTGCAAGAGCAAGTGCAGAGGGCAGCTGGGCCCCAGGGGTGGGAGTGTGTGCCATGATCATGTAAACACACATGCTTCACACATGTGTACAGTAGCCACACACATCCACAAGTGCCTGCATATGACACACAAACTCGCATGAGATGCACATGTGTTTATATGCACAACACATGCCTCCCACACTGCTTACACATATGTATGAATAAGTATACATGCGCAGGGTTGTGCACACATGTATAATGCACATAGGTATGCACATGCTAGCTCACACATAAATATCTTCACACATGTAACACATGTGCATATGGACACAGAATCAGAAATGCAGACACATGCTTGTATGCACAAGCGCACTGGGCATATATACATGCGGACACCTGTATACACACAACATATGCATGCTGTCATTCACACACTCAGACGCACATCCACACCCATCGGTGTTGCGTGCACACATGCAGTACCCACATGTGCACTGCCACACACGCACCCCTGCACCACATACACACTTGTACATCTGCACCCTGTGGGCTGGGCCCACTCAGCCCTCCAGGTCCCCTTTCATGGAGGCCGTGGACAGCGCGCTGACCAGCCCCTGGCGGTCCCCCGGTCTCCGCCAGTAGCTGCGGATGAGCTTGTAGACAGCAAAGCCGGGAATGATGAGGGAGGGCACCCCGGCCACGACCACCACCACGGCGGTCACCCAGCCCGGGTACAGGGTCTTCTGGGACTTCGGGAACTCCTCCTGGGGAGAGGGGTGAGCAGCTAGGAGCCCCTGCAGCCCTGACACCCACCTCCCGGCCCTGGAGGGAGGGACCGGCGCCCACACCCCCTCCTCCTCCCGCCTTCTCGGGGACCTGTGCCCTGCACCCGGCACTCACGTAGCTGGGGTTCCACACGCTGTACACGAGCTCCTTGCTGACCTGGATCACAAAGAAGAAGAGGAAGATGACCAGCATGATGAGCGGGCTGACCAGCCTCCACATGACCTGCCAGAAGATGTTGGGCTTGTGTCCGATCATGAACTCAATGTCCTTGTTGAACCTGCAGAAGCCAGAGGAGCAGTGTCACCCGTGCCTCCTCGCCTCAGCCCACCAAGGCTCTCCACGCTGGATGACGGCGCCTGGACACTCTCCACAGGGCGGAGCGGCAGCTCGATGCCTCAGAGCCCTTGGCGCGCCCCCTCAGCCACCGCCTGGGTGTGGCGAGGGGTCAGGGCTTCCAGGGAAATGGAGGAAGGCCACCAGCTGGCCCCCCATCCTCCTCCCATCACCCCCATGCGCCCGACTCTTCCCGCAGGGAGTTCCCTGTCAGCAGAAATCAGGAACAGGCGGGGTCTGTCCAGGGCCTCCAGGACCCCTGTGGAACTGGAACCTGGACCCAGCTGGTGCGGGATCTTGGGAGGCTCAGGCAGTGAGTGTCCCTCAGCCTTGTGCCCGCGGTCCTTGCCTCCTCCGGCTGTCCAGACCGACGTGGGCACATGGCACGAGGCCACTATGCTCAGACTTCAGAGTGCCCTCCCGTACACAGCCACCCCGTTTCCACCTAAATGTTCCTGGCTGAGACCCGGCGATACCATGACACCGAGGGGCCACCCCGACCCTCAGCCATCCGTCCCTGCCTCTGCCGCTGCTCATGCTGACACTCCCTGCCAGGCACCATGGACTCACATCTCAGTGCTCTGGAAGCACTCACACTCACTTGATTCCGCACGTGTGGCTGCGTCAGCCCCACCTGGCCGTGGCAGAGGGTGCCGAATGGGCTCGGACAGTGGCACTGGATTCCGGGTGCTGTCCCTGTTCCTCAGGAGGCCTGAGCACTCCCCTGCCTTACCCCACTGTCCAGCCCCCGGGCCCAGAGGGGGTGCAGCACCCAGCTGCTCCCCATGGGACCCCGAGGCCCAGGCCTGCTGCTGTCCCCCTTGTGCTGCACCTTCAACTGCTCCCTGTGCCCCAGCCCCAGGGCCGTGTCTGGGGACCTGACAGAGGCCCTCACGGGGGAAGTCGGAGTCTGTGTGGTTCTGTGGCCCTGTGTCTGCTCTTCCCTTCTCGCTGCTGTCCTCCTCCCTGGATGCCCCAGGTCACTAACGCTGCCTCTAGCCAACTCCTGGCCCTGGAGCAGGGGCAGGGGCAGCAGGAAGAGAACGGCTCCCACCTGGATGGGAGCCTGTTCCCCAGCCTCTCCACCTGCATGATGCACTGTGCTCGCACGGAGGGAAACTGCGAACTGCAGCAGAGGAGCCCACTCCCCAGGTCTCCCTGCCAGCCAAGCCGGGCCCCGCCCTCCTACCTGTCCACGCCGTATATGTACACCACGGCGAACATCTCACAGAAGGCAATGATGAGCAGGGGTATGGAGCCTGCGTAGCTGTCCAGCAGGGACACCCAATACTGGCCCGAGTTCAGCGTGAAGATGAAGGCGATGAGGTAGTTGCTCAGGCAGATGAGGCCTGTAGGCCGAGGGGGCAGAGCTGCTTCAGGGCGGAGCCCCAGGTGTCCCTGCCCTGGGTGCCCGTCCATGGCCCGCGGCACACTCACCTGTAAGCAGCTCCTTGGGCCACGTCTCAGGGAAGACCCTGAGGTCCTGCAGGGGCGCGACTATGCCCTCTATGTTCCCAAACATGGACGAGAGGCCCAGGCAGAAGAGCATGAGGAAGAAGAGCACCGACCACAGAGGGGCCACTGGCATCTTGGTGACGGCCTCGGTGAAGGCGATGAAGGCCAGGCCTGTGCCCTCCACACCCTGCAGAGCAGCACAAGTCACCCGGCACCCCCTGCAGCCATCCCCACAGCCCGACTGCCATGCCTGGCCCAGCAAGGACAGGTGGATCCGGGTCATTCGGGGAAATAACTGGATCTTGATTTTTGTCCCAAAGCGCGTTTTTAAAAGTGGACGTGAGTGGGTCAGAGAGCCAAGCCACTGAGAATGCCTGCCACCGTGGGCTCCAGTTCTCCCACGTGGCCCTGCACCGGAGTGCAAAGGCGACGCTGAGCACATCCCGAAGGACTCCAGATCCAGGCTGCTGCAGGGGGTGTTCAGCAGGGCAGCACCACCCTGTCGCTGTCCCAGGGCTGGTGGTCCGGCCGTCTCCGTCCCACCCTCCGGAGTCGGTGGGCGCCCCGAGGCTGAGAACCTCAGCGTCTCTGCTCTGCCAGGCCAGGTGCTTGGCCAATCTTTTGTTCCTGGCACAGGCATTTCACAAGGGCCGCCAGAGACAGACCGACAAAGGGTCACCATCCTCCAAGGCCCAGGTGGCTCCTGGCCGACAAACTGCGCGATTCAACTTAATAAATGCTGACCTATAGAATGTAATGGTAGCTAGGCGTGCTGGAGCACACCTGTCGTCCCACCACTGTGGGAGGCTGAAACAGGAGGATCACAAGTTTGAGCCCAGCCTGGGCAACTTAGCAACAGCAAGACCTTGTCCCCAAATTTTAAAAAGTTCTGGGAGTGCAGTTCAGTGCCAGGGTCCTCAGTGCCAGTACAGCAACAAACAAAAACGATCAAAAAATAGGTCATGGTGTGCAAACTTCATTAACCATTAACGTGGTGCTCAAATGCTTCAGTTACTACACCGGCAACTCCTGGCTTTCCCTGGCACCCCAAGGGCTGAGAATCCCCAGTCCCCAGTTAGTGTGGTGCTGGTCTGGTGCATCCAGAACCAGGGTTAAAAATTCTTTCCACTTAAACAGAAGAAACTGCATGACCCACGGACGGTGGGGGTCTGTGTGGCAGTGAACAAGAGGGACAGGTGGCCTGGTCAGGGGAGAGCGAAGGGGGACCCAGCTCTGTGCACAGTGCGGAGCCCCTGAACCCCTCACAGGCCACCCCATGGGACCCACCTCGGACAGGAAGGAGTTCATGTCGCAGGTCTGGAACTGGAGCCCCGCATAGGTGGCAGGGTTGGTGGCGTTGAGCCACTGCTGCATGGCGGTGAAGTTCTCCTCTGTTACGTTGCCCTCGGGCAGGTCGAAGGCATTGAGGAGCACCAGGATGTTCCTAGGGCGAGGACAGGGCTGATGTCGGCCGAGGAGTGGCCTGGTGGGGACAGGCCAGGCCTGGCGCAGGGTGGGACTCACTGGCTGAAGCAGTCGTCGTATTGCTCGGTGGCGCGGAAGCCAATGATGGAGTAGACCACAGTGGCCGCGTACACAGACGTGAAGCCGTTGATGACAGACACGATCACCGCATCCATCTCACAGTTGTTGCTGTGGGCAAGAGCAGCGTCCTTAGGGCCTGCGGTGCTGTCCCTGGAGAGCAGGCTGCATCCAGCCACGGCCCACCCAGAGTCAGAGCATGGGCTGCGCCTCCACCAGGTCCAGGCCCAGGACACAGTTGAGCCCGGCCCAGAGTGCCCGAGAGACGGGGCACCCCTGGGGACTCGGGAGGGGCCCGGAACCCACCGTCCTCCCCTCCCGAGCAGCACTGAGGACGCAGGTGGACAGAGAGCCGGGCTGACCCAGACCCACAGCGGGGACCCTTGCTGCTGCCTCTGTGCATTTCCGCACACAGTGGCTGCAGAGACCCTCCGGAAGCCCAGGACAGACAGCAGCTGTCACTTGGGACCAGGCTGGGTCCTAACCCTGGCCCGAGGCAGGGGAACAACAACCCCAGAGGGAAGAGGAGGCCAGGCTGGGCCCGCCGTGGCATACATGCCCCCAGGTCTCCAGGGCCCGGGATGGCTGCCTCTGTCAGCCAAGGAAGTTCCGAGGAGTTCAGTCCACAGCCCCCAGCACCTGGTGGACCCCAGGCCACGAGGAGCAGAACTGGAAGCCACCAGGGAGCTCAAGTCAAAGGGAGTGAGGCACCACCCCACCACTGCGCTGGCGACTCCACGAACATCCGACAGTGCAGGAGTTGGCATGGGGCTGGAGTGGCATAGCCCTGCAGTCCTCCAGCAACTGACCCAGGGTGACCAGCCCAGCAGCCCATGCCTGTGTCCACACGAATGCCCACGCACAGTGCCACAGCACCAACCACCACACTCCAGAGTGGAAACACGACAGCTGGATGTGCCCAGTAGTCGAGTGACTGGCACAGGATGGCCGTCCACGCAGAGCACACCATCTGCAGAGAGGAGGGAGGCGGTGACACGGCACACGGGACACTCTGGCCTCGCGAGAAGCTGGAATGTGCCCATCACAGTGTCCAGGACCCGATGACCACAGGTGGAAGGCAGAGCAGGGTGGGGCCGGGCCCGGGAGGGTGAGGCCTGCTGGGGTGGGAACCTCTGGATCCATGGTCGGGGCGGGGCTAACGCTGTTGTGAAACTGGCCCGCCTGCAGTGGCACCTGCATGCCCTTCTAGCACCTGCGCCTTCTGGAGCTGGAGCTGGGACCCGGGCACCTCCGGCCCCGCAGGCCCCGCCCCCACAGGCAGCGCCCCTGCCTGATCCTCCAGCCCCGCCCCTGGCCACGGCCAGACCACGGCCCCGGCTCTAGGGGCACTTCTGGCCTCTTCCTGCCCTCACTACGGGGCCTCCCACAGGCCACGCCCCACACCCTTCCCCAGGCCGGTTCCCCCCACAAGTGCAGGGCTCACTGCCGTGTCCTCCCCAGGCACCCGCCCGCGCACTGCCCCCTGCTCCCTGTTGGCCCTCGCAAGCCTCACCCCAGCCCACTCAGGCCCTGCCCTCACCCCTTTCTCTCCAGGGCTTCTGCACCCCCTCGCACCAGGCCTTCACACACAGTAGGGCTTTGTCTTCCTGATCCTGTGAGGATGCCTGATACACACTGGCGCGCTGCCTGAGTGCCTCCTGGTGCCCCCTGGGGCTCATCACACAGGGCCCTATCCTGGTGGAGTCTGTCGGGGGCATGGCCTGCAGGATCCCACCTGGGTCTGTGGTGGGCTTCGGGCCACCACAGACCAGATACCGGGGTCCCAGGGTAGAGCTGGGGTGGTCCAGGGGCTCCCCGAGAGCCAGCCTGCCCTGTGGGCGCTGTGTGTATGCATGGCCCCAGCAGAGCTGCTTCCCCCAGACACGCAGGGACCACACTGGCTGGCGTTGGCAGAGGAGCTGGGCCCCCCAAGCACCTTGCGTGCTTTCCTGCCCATCCTCACAACTGGGGAGACTGAGGCACAGCTCCCTGCGCCTGGGGACCCTCCCACGCCGTGGACTCACTGCACGGGGTTGTAGCTGGAGAAGGCGATGAGGCCCCCGAAGGCCAGTGAGAAGGAGTAGAAGACCTGGGCGCCTGCATCCAGCCAGGTCACCGGGTTGGCCAGCTCTGTCACCTGCGTCGACAGAGACCTCGCTGCACACTGCACCCTGAGGCCGAGGAGCGTGCCCCGGAGCGGGCTGGGCGGGAGGGAGGTGGCAGCTGGCTCCCCCCCGGTGGTGGCTGCCCTTGCACGTGGACAGCAAAGTCAGGCTGAGCAGCCCCTTCCCAGCACACAGCGTGAGGACCGTGGACAGCCAAGCCTCAAGGCCCGACCAGCACAGGCCTGGCCTGGGCAGCAGCAGGCCGGCTCCACCTGTCTCTGGGAGCTGCACCAGGGCTCAGGGCAGACTCTGCTCCGACTGTGGCCTCTGAGCCACGAGTCTGAGCCCAGGGTGGACACAGGCACTCACATTGGGTGTGAAGAGGAAGACGATGCCGCTGGTGGCACCCTTCAGCGTCAGGCCGCGGACAAGGAAGATGGTTAGCACGACATAGGGCAGGGTGGAGGTGATGTACACGGCCTGCAGGGCAGCGTGGTCAGTGCGTGGGGACGGGCAGAGGATGGACCTCAGGGCGGTGCCCAGGATCGCCCTCCCTCTACTGTCCTTTGTCACTGCTCTTTGCCTCTCCCACCTGGGCAGACGGGTAGGGCTGCCTGAGCTTTAGGAGGGTGTTCGGGAGCTGTCTGAGCCTCCAGCTGAGCCATCCAGCAGACCTGGGGCTGTGGCGGCCTGAAGAGAGGCTCTGGGAGCCCCGGGACCAAGGCCGAGGACCGGGCCCAGCAGGCAGTCCGACCCGTACCTTCCCGGTGGTCTCGATGCCGCGGATGGTGCACACATACAAGATGCAGCAGGTGCACGTGAGGCAGAGCAGGATCCACCACTGGATGGAGCCCGAGTCATTGATGGAGGTGGAGATGTTGAGGGTCTCGCGGTACCAGAAGTAGTCCACAGGGGAGCTCCTGGCACACTCGTCCACGTAGCCTGTGGAGATGGTGGTGTGCACACTTCAGCATGGGGTCACCAAGAGGATAGGTCCATGTGGACAGGCAGCTCCGGGCCCCAGGCTCCAGGAACACCAACCAGCCAGAGGCATGGAGCAGGACGGGCACACAGGTGCACACACATGCATGCAACACAGCCATGCATGGATAGACACACACTCATGTGTGAGTGCACCTGTATGCTCACACAAGCATGCCCACAAGCATAGCCGTGCACACACATGCACACAAATTTATGCACATGGGTGCGCCTGTATGCTTGCACACATGAGTACAAGCACAGCTGTGCACACACACACACGGATGCATCTGCATGCTTGCACACACCTGCACCAGTCCACTCACATGTGTGTACACACATGCCCACACAGGCTGTGGGTTTCGAGACGCCATTGTAAGTGTGCTATGTGCCTCTGGCCTTGACGGCCTCCTGCTGCTGTTTCCTGGCTGCTGTGGGATTGCCCAGCAGTGCAGAGGCTATGGGGCTTTGGGGCTCCCTGGCCGGCCTGGGCCCATACTGCCCAGCTGCACATCCTGTTGCCACCGTGGGCTTCTTGGGGCTCCAGGAACCATGCTGAGCCCTGCTAGGGGAAGAGTCCAGCCTGGCATGCAGTGAGGGGCACCTGGATGCGTCTGCCCTCTCCTGACCGTGTCTCCTCTGCCCATCACGTGGGAAGAGCTTGTGCAGCATGCCCTGCAGCCGCTCTGCACCTACTGGGCTCGAGGTCACCAAGTAGACCGCTCATGGCCCTCTGTAGCCGCGAGCGTCACTGTGAGCTGAGCCTGTGTCTTCCTCTGCAGGGCCGGGGCCCAGGGTGGGGACATGGACACAGGCAGCAGAGCGGCTCTTGTACAATGGTCCCTCTGTCACAGCCCCTGCTGTCCCTGCAGCTTCTCTGAGGGTCTCATCTGCCCCAGACGTGAGGCCTAGGAAGTCATAGTGCTCACGTCTTCTGCGAATGTGGTGGAGCCTGTCATTGCCCTGCTGCCTGGAAGGGGCTCTGGATTCTTCCAGCTCTGTCATGTCCAGGTCTTAGGAGAGTGCTGGGTGACTGTGCACAAGACATGGTCACTGCTAGCAAGGCCAGGTCAGAGTGGGGACGGAGGCAAGCGGGGGCCGCCTCACCTGTCCGGTTCCCGTTCAGTGGGCACTCGCTCCACGGCAGGGGCTCCTGGAAGGAGTTGAAGAAGTACCACGTGATCCAGGCGATGATGGTGTTGTAGTACAGGCCGACCATGAAGGTCGCCAGCATGGACGCGATGCCTGTGGGTGCGGGGCGTCACTGCGGGTGGCGTCCCAGGTCCCCGTGGCTGAGTGCTGGGCTGCGGGCCCTGGGAGGGCTGCGGGATGCTGGGGCCTGTCTGATGTCACTTGTGTGACCTGGGGTGGGGGGTCAGGGTCCCACCCCCTCCACCTTCGCCTGCAGCCCGTGGTGTGCCAGGGTGGTGGCTGTAGGCCCTCTCAGGGGCTTGGGGGAGCGGGCAGGGTGCTGCCCAGTGGGCCAGGCCCCAAACAAGCCGTGTCCTCACTAGGGACAGGAGAGAGCATCAGGGAGCGCAGTGGGCAGTGAGTGGTCTCAACGTTCAGGGACAGCCAGGTGGGACTGTGAAGGTGGTTCAGGCACCTGCTCTCCAGAAATGTGACATTCAAAACCAATTCTGGGGGCCGGGGATGTAGCTCAGTGGTTCTGCCGCCTGCCTCGCAAGCACAAGGACCCGAGGTCTATCCCTGGCACCAAAAAAACCAAACCGAATGTGTGTGGGGGCCAGGGGTTTAGCTCAGTGGCACCATGCCTGCCTGGCATGCACAAGGTTCTGAGCTCAATCCCTGGTACAGGAAAACAGCATCAACCACCGCCACCGCGACAGATGTGTGTGTGTAACTGGGAGTGAGATGCGGGGAGTGAGGGAGACAGGGAGGGGGAGAGAAGCAAGGGGAAGGGAAAGTGGAAGGGATGGGGAAGAGAGGGAGGGCCATGTGAGCAGAGGGACGGATGGCGGAAGCAGGTGAGCCTCAGGCCTGGCTGCTGTGCGGGTGTGGGTGGGGCGGGCCCTGGGCTGGGCTCTGGGCGTGTGGACCCTGCCCTTCGCTCTTTGCTGCCCGCTGGTATTTTGGGGCCCAGGTGAGCCGTGTCCCTTGGTGAGGCCGTAGGGGCCGCCCAGGTCAGAGCCGTGAATGAGTGACCAGCCCTGGGTCGGGCCCTGGAGCTGGTGTGGTCAGGAGGCCTCTGGAGGGTGGGCGGCCAGCGCCCCCTTCTGGCCCGGGGCCTTGCGGAGCCTGCTGTGGGCCGCAGGTCAGTCCCTCTGCTCCTCCCTGTGGAGCTGCCCTCCCGCCCTGCCGGGCGGTGGGGGTCAGGGTCACTGCCGACCTCCTGGGTCCTGGAGAGTAGGACGGCCCGGCCCAGGGGTGGCCTCCAAGAAAGGTCCCAAAGGCCTCTGGAGGGGCCAGCCTGGGTGCTCTCGCCCAGGAGCGCCCGGGAGGCCAGGGGCCTGGGACACACACCTAGGCCCTTCAGGGCAGGGTGGATGGAGCTCCACACGCCCACGCTGCCCTTCCGCAGCCGCTGGCCAATGGCAAACTCCAGGTACAGCAAGGGGATGCCCTCCAGGACCAGCAGGATGAGGAACGGGATCATGAAGGCCCCTACGGGGAGAAGCACACACATGCGTCACAGACTTGGAGGCTACTGGGGAAGGGCCCTGCCTGAGAGGCCGCGCCGAGCACAGCTGCAGCCCCGACGTGCAGCGAGCTGAGCTGTGGTCCCTGCGGGGCTGGAGCGGACACTGCTGTGTCACTCCGGACGGCACCTGTGTACTCCGAGCACCGTGATCAAGGGTGTGCAGGGGAAGGCACAGGGCCAAGGTCAGCCCCCGCTGGCTGGGAGCCCCAGAAGTGGAGGGGCTGCCGCACAGGCCTGGAGGGGTGCCAGCCTCCGCCCTGCCTCTGACGCTCATGGGCTGTGTCACCACTCAGCCTCATGGACACTGGGGTCACGTGAGACAGGGCAGCTTGCTGGTGACGCTGGACCACTGCGGGGCGATCTCACAGACGTCATCTGTGTTCTCTACACAGTCACAAGCATGGGGACGACTGTGAGGGCTGAATTTCTCACATCCTGTCTGTCACCTGTGCAAGCCCACCGTCCTCGCCTGACCCAGAGGGCTGACAGGAAGCTGTCCCTTGGGCACCTCCCTTCAGTCCCTCCAACAGTGACTGTGTTTATTCTCTTTCTACAAGAACTGGGTGAATGCAGAGATTTTGATGTCATGTATCCTGGCGGGGCGTTGTGCACACCTGTGAGTGATTCCAGCACTCGGGAGGCTGAGGAAGGGAGAACACTGTGAGCTCAAGGCCAGCCTGAACTGCAGAGTGAGACTCTGCCTCAAAAACCCAACACAAAATGTGTCTCCAAGAACAGCGGGGACAGAGTACGAAGACGACCCATGGAGCATGAGAAAATACTCACAAGTTATGTCTCTGGCAAGAGATTTGTGTTCAGAACATGCCTGAAACTCAATAGCAACCAAAACACAATCCAAACAGTGCACAAGACTCAGGCAGCTGTTTCTCCAAGGAAGACACAATGGCCAGAGAACCATCGAAGGCTGCACAGCCTCCCTTACCAGCAGGAAAATGCAAGCCAGAACTGCAGTGGAGCATCACCTCACCCTGTTAGGACATTCCTATCAAAAAGTGAGCATGTGGGCCAGGGATTTAGCTCAGTGGCGCCACGCCTGCCTCGAAAGCACAAGGTCCTGTGTTCGATCCCTGGTACCAAACAACAACAACAAAAGTGGGCACGTGGTGCATATCAGTCATCCCAGCTGCTCTGGAGGCTGAGGCAGGAGGACGGGAACTTCGAGCCCAGTAGGGACAACATAGCAAGGCCATATCTCAAAAATACAAAGGGCTGGAGGTGCAGTTCAGCATGCAATTCCTGGGTCCAATCTCCAGTACTAAAAAAAGAAAAAGGAAATAAGCAGAATAAGAATGTGGAGATGCTGGGACCTGTGCGCTGTCAGTGAGGGCCTGAGAGTGGGCGGCTGCTATAGGAAGCGGTTTTTGTTCATCAAAAACCCAGGCTCAGGAGTTTCTGTGGGACCCAGCAGCGCCACTTCCAGGAAAATCCTGAAGAACCGGAAGCGAGATCTCAGAGCCTCTCGCACACACCCTGTGCGTACAGGACCCAGGAGGTGGAAGACCCCAGAGGTCCCCCTGTGGGTGACAAGGACAAACTGCCCATCTGCATGGTGGAAATCGTATCTCTCAGCCTGTGGAAGGAAGGAACCCAACATGGAGCAATGCAGGCTCCACAGGATGTGCTGGTCAATGGGACAAATGCTGATCACCTTGGGTGTCTCCACAGACGTGGAAGGGAGGCTGCAGGCTGGGCACAGGGCGGAGCTCTGGGTTGGGGGGTGAGAGGGCTCTAGCAGTGGGCCACAGCTGTGCTTAGCGCCTCGAAAATGGCCGGCAGAGAAAGCTTTGCTGTGTGTCTTTTCCCACTGCACAGAGGTGAGGAGAAAGAGTGCATCAGGTGCCCCCTGAGGCCCCGGCCACTGTCGCTCTGCCCTCAAGGGACACTGTGCATGGTGCTGGGGGCTCAGGTTGCAAGGCTTGGAAGCAACCTGGAGACGTGGGAATGCAGGCGGGAGCAACGTCTCGGGGACTCAGGCATCCGGGGCGGGGACAAGCCGGGCAGGATGGTGACCTTGCCCTGCAGCAGGGACAGGGACATGGTCCCTCTGCCCGAGGTGGGCTGGGGCTTTCAATCCACCAGGGAGTGAAGAGTGGTCGGAAAGGAACGAAGATGAAGATGAGCCAGACCTAAGCACTGTTCCTCTAAAGATGGATGGGGTGTGTGGGACGCACCCCGGAAGCAGAGTTGGCTGGTGGTGGTGTCCAAGGGGCTGGTGAGATTCGGGGTCACAGAGGAGTTGGAAGTCACATTCCTTGTGACATCTTGGAATTCTCAGTCTCTAGAGAAATCTGAAGCGAGGCTGGCCTGAGGGGTCCTGGGAGAACCCTGTGCTCCTGCAGCTGCCTCTGCCTGCTCTCTAGACCCCAGTGTGGGGTGCAGGGGCCACCCCAAGGCACCTCTTGTGTGCCCCTCACCCACCTTGCCCCACCAGGCAAAGCAGGGAGGGCAGGGGCTCCAGGCAGAGCCAGCCTCCACCCTCGGGGCAAACCATCCCGGAGCAAGGGCGTCACATGGCAGACCGTGTGGGCTCAGGCAGTGTGGGCACCCCCAGGGGCAGGAGGGAGTGGGCTCCATCTGGAGGAGGCTTGGGGCTGACACCCCAAGACTGTGGTGTGCAGCCTAAAACTCCGCTCCCTGGACACCACAGGCTCCAGCGGGGGCTGCTGTCCACTGGGACCCCTTGCCGCCCCCAGGAACGGGCCCCACCCAGAGCCTCAGGGCACCAGCTGCTCCACATGACCCGGCACCCACTGGGGCTGCTTTCCTGGGGGAAGGGGAGGGAGGAGGAGCCACAGGAGGGGGTTAGGGTGGGGCCCACGTGGGCAAAGGTCCCTGAGCCCAGCCGTCTGCGCTGCCCGGAGTCCCAGGCATCGGCTCCTCACACAGATGGATGGACAGCAGGCGGAGAGGGGCGGGCGGGGCCCTGATGCCAGGGAAAGTGCCAGAGCGGGGAGGCGAGCTCAGCTCGAAATGCAGTTCTGTCGGTCTGTCTGGGGAGTTGTGAAACCCAGAGGAGAGGCAGGAAAGGCAGGAAGAGGGGCGGATAGAGGGGGAGGAGGGGGAGGCTGGGGCAGCCGGCAGGTGCTCAGCAGGGGAGGCCAGGGTCTGCGCTCCGCCCGGCCCGGCCCGCCCGGCGTCTGTCGCCCCATCCACTGCCAGTCCCACCACTCTGTGTCCACACCGGCCTTAGCCTCGAGCCCCCGGGAGCCTGTGGAAGGGGCCTGTGTCCCCCGAGGCCTTCTAGCTGCTTCTCTGAAGTCCCAGCTGTCCCTGCGTCACTGCTGGCCTCCTCTGCTGGCCCCGGCCGGCTGGGCAGAGCTGCAGCCTGGATTGAACCCACTGTGTGGCTTCGAGGGAACTTTCAGGTCCTGCTGCCGCCCTTCGCACAGGTGAAGTATCCTGGCTTCGTCCCTTCAGGCTGTCCTCTGCCTGGGGACGTGGTCGGCAGCATGTGGAGTGACTGTGGGGACTCGTGTTCGGGGGGACAGCAGGCCCCTGGTGCGCTGCCAGCGCTCAGCGATGTTGGCAGGGGAGGAGCAGCCCCAGAGCCCGGGAGGTGACCAGGCCTGCGGTGAGCAGCCTGCAGTGTGCACTCAGCGGTGGGGCCCCACAGCCCTGGGCTTCCCGGGACCCTGCTCTGCACTCCCCTCCAGGCCTTGACCCCGCTGTCCTTTAAGGGTCCAAGCACCAGTCCCCCAGCCCACCACCCTGGGTCCTCAGAGGTCCTCTGAGCTCTAAACTGCCATAGTCCCCGGCTTTGTGCCTTGGAGCAGCCAGCGGCAAGGCGGGGGTCCCCACCAGGCCTCTCCCAAGCCCAGACTGGAGACTGAAGTGACTGCTCGTGGGGTGGCCAGGCTGGCCCTGCTTCCCTGGCAGGCAGGTGTGAGCCGAACCTGCACCCTGGTCCACTCCACGTGGTCCTGTCCTGCTTCTGCTTGTGGCATGGACCCCAGAGGCAAAAAGGCAGGCCCAGGACTGAGAGATCCCAGAACCCAGCCCGCTTTTGCTGGGGCTGGGAGCCCTGGCTGGAGACAGAGATGGTGCCTGGTGCATGGCCTGGGCAGAGCCACGGGCACCACCTGGCATCTCTCCGGGGAGCTTGGCATCCCAAGCTGCGGGAGTGGCCAAGCATCCTCATCTGGCTTTGGGCAGAGTGTCTGCAACCTGCGACACCCCCCCCCCCCCCCCGAGGACAGCCGACACCTGCTGAACGGGTTCCAGGCCAGCACAGGCCTGCCCAGACTCCCACCCCCGGAGCCTAGCATCTGAACGCAGCCGCCCCAGGCCAGGCGTGGTGTGCAGTGTCCCACCACAGGCCCCACCAGGGGCCACGCCTGCTGAGCCTCACAGACAGCCGGGGACCCACACTGAGGTGGGCCTGTGCAGCCCTGTTCCCTCTTCTGCCCACTCTCAGACTTGGCTTGGCCCCAGATTTTCGCCTCTTCCTCCTCTCTCTGCAAATGGGGTGCTGAGGTGTGTGGGGACCTGGTTCTGCCCCTGGGTACAAAGGGACCCCACCTGTGACCTCAGGATGCCGAGGGCGTGTGGGGCCCCACCTGCAGCCCGGGCTGGCCCTCCACGCTGGCCGCACTCCCTCAAGAGGCCCGGTGTGGCCTACCTACCTCCTCCGTGGCTCTGGCACAGGTAGGGGAAGCGCCACACGTTGCCCAGCCCCACGCAGAAGCCCACACAGGTCAGCATGTACTGGGTCTTGTTGTCCCACTGAGGTCGAGAGCTGGCCCCTTTCTGCTCTGTGGCCTCCAGGGTGTCCAGGGATGGGATCCGGTCCTCCAGGCCGGGGTTGGGCAGCACAAGCCGCACCATGGTGGTCACTGGCTGGGCTGGGCTGGGCTGGGCCGGGCTGGTGTGTCCTGCAGAGTAGCAGTGGGTGAGTGGGGCTGGGAGCCGGGTGCTTTATAGAGAACCTTTGGCACCTTGCCCCGGGCACCTGGGCAAAAGGAGGCGTCAGCAAATCCGTGGGGTGCGTCCAGCACTGTTAATGCCTTATCTTCGAGGCCCTGCTGGGCCGGAGCCGCCCGCCGTCCATCCCTCCCCCTGGGCAGACACCCATCAGCCACCTCAGGAGGGACCCCGCCTCCCAGCTCCTGCTGTGGGAAGCCCCGGCCCAGCCCCACAGCGTGGGCAGCAGATGGGCCTGAACCCGGGCCTGGTGGGGGGCCACGAAGGGCTGTGCTTGTGGGAGCTTCTGTCTGGCTCCAAATCCTCTTGAGGGCTGGGACCTTGACTAACGGAAGAGGGTTCCCAACCAGGAAGGGTCAGGAGGCAGAGTCCTCGGGGCCGACTGCTGGTCACTGGAGAGGCTGAAGGACGACCCCTCACCTGGCCTTGGAGCCAAGGGAGAAGGAGGGGACCCCCACCCTGCAGTTGTCTAAGCCAAGATGGAGGCAGAGTGGGTCTGCTGGGCCCCTGCGGCTCCCCCAGGGCTCCCAACCCCCTCCCCGCCCCAGGTGAGTGAGGGCCACGCCCTGCCCCAGGTGTCCCTGCCCCTTCCCAGAATCCACAGGCAGCCTGTGAGGATGGTTTCCTGATGAGCTGCAGTGACCTCGTCTAGGCGGGGGCCGTCCCCACAGGGAGCAGGGAAGGGGCGCTGCTCAGGGCAGCAGGTCCAGGCCCCGACCTTTGCCCCTGCCCTTAGGAGCTCAGAAGGGGTGGAGGCCTCCAGAAGAGAGGGGTGGCTTTCATCGCCCGGCTTGAGAGGGTCAGGGTGGGGGAGGGCGGGGCCTCTGGAGACAGACAGACAAAGCCGCACAGATAGACAGACAAAGCCACACAGATAGACAGACAAGACACACAGAGACAGACAGACAAAGCCACACAGACAGACGATAGCAGAGACAAAGACAAAGACACACACACAGACAGGGAAATACAGAGACAGACAAAGGCAGGACCAGAGGCAGACGCCAGGACAGACTCCCAGGCTGTGGTGCGGCTGGGTGTGGGGCAGGCAGGACAGGATGGAAGGGTGGTGGCCTGGATGGGCCACGTGCAGGGGAGGCCGGGCAGACCAGGGGCCTCACACAGATCTGGCCCGGGCCCCTCTCCTCACCGTAGACCCGCTGGAAGCTTCTGCCTGGGCCCGGGGAGGGCGGCCAGGCCTGCCCTGACCCCCGAGCAGCGGCCCTCTCAGTGCGCTGAACCCCACATCCTGCGCATAAGTCCCTGTAATTCCCCAGCACCCCGTGGCTGGGCATTTCCTGAGAAGACCAGAGATGGCCTGGCAGAGGCCCGGGCCTGGCAGGAGGGGAAGGGCCTGGGCTCCTGCAGGCCCGGTGTCGCCACCTGGGCGGCCCCACCATGGACGTCCCTCCCCTCTGGGCTCGTGGCTGTGTGTCCTGGCCTCTGGGACTCCGTGGGGCCTCACTGTCCCCTGGCACCCTGGCACCCTGGCCTGAGGACTGCTGCGGTCCTGCGGGTGCCCAGGGACTCTCCGGTCCTCAGCAGGGTGTGGCTTACTCTGCGTGGCCTGCCCAGGCCCTGCTGGCCCTCAGCGTAGGCCCCCAGCTGGCCCTGGCCAAAGGGTCAGCCCTCAGCCTGCCCCACTGCCAGTCTCCTCCCGTGGTTTGTCCAGACTCCCCTAGCGCAGCCAAGGTGGCCAGCCTTCTCCCTGGGGTGAGGTCACAGCTGGCCAGGACATCCAGGTCTCCATGACCATGCCGCTTTGTGGCCCCTGGCCGGTTCAGCAAGGCCGTGGGACACCAGTCACCTGCGGCCTTCTGTGCCCAGTTCCCTGCCGAGGGCTGGGACAGACCAGGCGGTGCAAGGACTCCGTGAGCCTTTGGCGTTCTCTACAGTTGTACTAAGCACAATCAGGAAGGCTAAAGCCTGGAAAAATACTGTCCCCCGCCGCACCCCACCCTCAACCCTAGCAGCCCTGAGGATAACAGCCCGGCTCAGGCCTGTCAGCACCACCAGCAGGGCTGACATCTATGGGTGCACGGGGCCTCCGCTCCTGTGTGTCCCAGCACTGCCCACCCCACGGCCCGAGGGCCCGTCCCTGCCGGCCACCCTGGGAGGTGCTGCACACTGCACAGGGCAGGCCGATGGACTCCCTCCCTGCTCCCACCTCCAAATCCCAATGTTTGTGCTTTTCTTCAGTCCTGGGGATCGAACCCAGGAGCCTCACACTGAGCTGCACTCCCCAGCCCTTTAAAACAATTGTTTTTGGAAACAAGGTCTTGCGAAATTGCCCAGGCTGGGCTCGAACTTGCACTGCTGCCTCAGCCTCCTGGGGTGCTGTGATTGCAGGTGTGCACCCCATGCCCACCTCTGTGCATGGTTTCTACTTATTGTATCTTAGGGATTTTCCGGGCCGGGGATTTGGCTCTGGTTCCGCCGCCTGCCTCCCAAGTGGAAGGACCCGAGTTCAATCACTGGTACAAAAAAGAAAAAAGGAATTTTCCTTTCATTATTTTATAAAATTGCTTGAATTTTAATTCCGAAACATTTGCTTTTAAATATAAGTTCTGTTAGATTTTTCTTGCAAACTCTCTTTCTGAAGTGCGGTGTGGAGCACGGTCGGGACACGGCCTCGTGGTGGCCTGTGCAGAAAGCTCCAGGTGTCCCCTGCTCAGTGTCTTCGTGCTGAGGTGCCTGGGTTTTCTCTGGCCACACTGCAGCTGGGTCCGGAGCCCCCCCCCCCCGGAGCCCGTGTGCTGGAGGCTTCATGCCTGGGAGGCTGTTGGAAGAGGGATGGTCACAGGGCTGTGGCCTGAGGGGGCTGTGGGACCCCAGTCTCTTTCCACAGAGTGGATTTGTGTCACCAGATTGCTCCATACAGTTGAGTTATATCAGGGCACAATGGCACACGCCTATAATCCCAGCATTCCAGGAGGCCGAGGCAGGAGGATCGCAAATTCAAGCCTAGACCCGGCTACTTAGTGATTTAGCAAGGCCCTGTCTCAAAAAGTAAAAAGGAAGCTGGGCATGGTGATGCACGCCTGTAATCCTAGCACTCCGGAGGCCGAGGCAGGAGGATCCCCATGAGTCTGAGGCCACTCTAGGCTACATAGTGACTTCAAGGCCATCCTGCCTTACATAGTGAGACCTGTCTCAAAAAAAAGCAAAATAAATAAATGAATAAAATGAATAAATCAAATATTTTAAAGGGCTCAGGATGTAGGTCATGCAAGGGCTGTGGGTTCAATCCCTAGTACAACAAGAGAGAACTAAGTCACCCCAGTAGTAGGATATCAGAATATTCTTCTCAGTGCACTTCAACTAACAATGGGCATTATTACTTTAAAATCTTTGCTAATTTCTTTCTCTCTTCCCTTCCTCCCTCCTTCCTTTCCTTTCTTCCTTTGCCCACCCTCTCAGCCCCGCCCACTCCCTGCTTTTAGGAAACATGGTTCAGATGCGCCTGAGCTTACTGGGGGCACGTGAAGGGGCTCTGGTTCTTTTGTTTTTGGTACTAGGGATCGAACTCGGGACCTTGTGCTTATGAGGCAGGCAGCGGCACTGCTAAGCTAAATCCCCAGCCCAGGGCTCTGGTTCTTAATCGGTTTTTCTTTTCTGTCAACCAGGCTCAGGTTCAGCCCTGGATCCGCTGTGGCCTGGCCTGGAGGCCTGGTGCTCTTGGGAGCAGGTGCCCTGGGTCTCCTGGGAGCAGCAGAGCCAACCGAGCATGTCCTGAGAGCCGAACGTGCTCTTCCTGGGGGTGTTCTGGTCTCCGTGACTGCTGCCCCACATCCTGGGACAGGAGGATGCCTTGGGCGGCATGGCAAGGCCCTGCTGTGGTGAAAAATGCCCCCGGAGGCCCAGGACCACAGGATCTGTGTCTTCCTCACACAGTGTATCTGGGGCTGGGGTGACCCCAGGGCAGGGAATGACCACGCCCACCTCAACATCCATGACCGGGCCCCAGACATGTCATTTCTGCCCACAGCTTGCCAACCAACGCAGGTGAGAGTCCACCTTTCCCCTCTGAGGCTGTGGGGGGATGACAGCAGCGTACCTGGACGGCCAGGTGGATGCTGGCTTACACCCCACCCGTCCCCTCAGACTGCCGTCCAGCCTGGAGGCGCCTGTGTCCAGTCCCTTGCAGCGGGACAGGGCTCAGCCACCACCAGGCCCCACGTGGACCCTCAGCCCTCAGGAAACACCTTGAAGCCCATCCCAGCTTGGGGACAGCCAAGCTTCAGTGGGGTGCTGAAGGTGCCACTCCTTGCAAGTCCCTGGTGTCTCCGATGGATCACAGGGAAGTTGAAGGCAGAGGAAACCAGGTGGGCCCTGGCGTCCCCTGTCCTCTGTCCACTCAGAACCCGCACGGTGTGCCCTGAGGTCACCAGCAAGGCCACAAGGTCTGGGAGGACGGGACCCACCCCTGTGTGCAGCACTCAGGCTTTTGTGCTCTTGCTCCCTGAAAACCTTCAGTCATGGGGCAGCTGTGGCCAGGGCCAAGGGGGCCCTGCAGAGGGTAATGGAGGTGGCGATTAGATTGCAGCAACCGCACCGCAGCTTCCGAGTCCTCTAGATGCTGGGTAGGAGGACGGCTGGGGACACAGTGACCAGAGCAGAAACGTGGATGACCCCAGGGAGCACTGCTCTCCCCATGGTGAGCTCAGGAGAGCCAGCAGTGCTGGGCAGTGGCAGCCTGCCGGCACGGAGGCCATCAGCTCGATGGCTCTGCAGGGTGCTTGGGGTGCATGCTGCTGGGGGAGGCGGTCGGTGGGTCCCGTGACTGGAGATAGTTAACCTTTGTCTTGAGTGGGCGGTTGTTCCAAGGAGCGTTGTTTGCGGTCTCAGTTGCCGGGCAGCTGCAGCCCTGGGAGTCAGGAGGGCCGGATGCCCCTGGTTCCCCCGCCTCACTATTGACTCTGGGCTGGAGCAAACCCCATGGGATTAGCCTCG